TTTTAGAATCAAAAGAAAGCTTTATTTTCTAAGTGAACTATACAGTGATGATAACTCTACATTACCTACTGTGGAATATGTGTCGTGAACTACATGTAAAATACCTATTTTCCACACTCAAGCTTATCTATGTGTAAGTGACAATTTATATCCATTATTAAAGTATTTTGAAAGAAAAAATCTATTGATTCATTGCAACTTCAAATAGCTGCACTGCGTCAAATAACTTTTATAAATATTTATTAATGATTTACACGTATAGCCCTACAATTACGTTGATAACCTTCATTCATTCTAGTACACTGAGTAACAAAATAATTATCTTTATTTATAGACGAAAGTATATAAACCCGCATTAAATGTTTGATTTTAATGGATTTTTCTTCGTAACATCTAGGTCACGTATGGCCTTCTCCTGAAAATGTTTAGAGAGCTATAAATAGCGATTAGGTGAAGTAAGAATATGCTATTCACGTGTTCAATTGTATGCTACATGAAAGTATTTTTTTTGTCTTCAATAAAGTGTATTTTTACGAATAATAAGGATAATCCTACTACTGTAGAGACGTGTAATTTAGTGAAGATGAATGATTGTCATACTCTTTCGCGCAAAAAAGAATTTTCCTGAAAGTATTTTTATTTTAGCTTAAAATGAAGAACTTTTTCCATAGATTCTAAAGATGATTTCATAAGAATCTATGTCCCCTAGATGGGGCAGAGGGCGTCCACAACAGTCCTCCATCGCGTTCGGTCTTGAGCTTCGCGTTTTATCTCGATCCAGTACCACTTGCGGCGCTTGATCTACTGATCGACTAAAGATGATTAGATTTAATAAAAAATAATATTTGTTTGAAAATTAAAAAAAAAAATGTAAGGTATGACTAGCTAGATGATTAGATATCTCGCAGCAAGTAGGCGTGTCTGGTGATAAGAAACAGAAAAAATAACGCATAATCATGCGAGCATCACGCTATAACGGCTCTATTTCTTATTTACATTGAGTAGGTAAGGTCATTTATTTAAATACTTACACACAAACTCCGAGCATTTCAGATAATTTAACTGAACCGGAATCAACAATAAATATACGACTGTTCTGATTTTACATAGAGGTCGGCTATTCACTTTAAAATCGATACGTTACGAAAAGGTCATGTGGTGCATATTGACAAAATAGATAGGGCCTACAATGTAATAATATTCCTCTACGTTACACGTAAAAACTTGATACATACTTATACGTTAAGTAACTATCAAAAAATGTATAAGTACAACAATAGGTAGGTAATAATACAAGAAATAATACCGTATCTCAGCATTGCGTGCGTAAAGTTAGCAATTCGAGTTACTTAATAAAAACAATACGTAGCGAAGCGATCACAAAATTCTAGAAAATAGGTAGGTATAACACGACAGAATGTCAGATTATCTACAACTCTACATACAGGCATAAGTCTAGAAGACGTGAAGTAAGTAAGTAAATTTATTTTTAAGTTAAGATTTCCTACTTAAGATCGGTACTTACCCACAGTAAGATAAGTTTATTAATACGGGCCACACTCTATCTAAAGTCACAAGGCATCACTCTTATCTGAAAACAATCCAAAGTACAGTAAGTCACACAATCATTATTGAATCATCACAATTCACGATGTGTGGTCACTTAAGTAAACAAATTTTTAGAAATTGTCTTGTTGGCTTTTATTACGATTATTCTTATAAAAGTAGCGAACGACATTAATTATTTGCTTACCTACATGTTATTCTTAAATTAAAATTCACGTTCATTTGATTTTAAATAAAATTGGTTTATCAACATAAGAGTTAAAATATAACAATGTCTCAGCAGACGGAAAACTTCCGAATATTATTTTACTTACTACATAAGTGAACACAAGGAAAATATGTATGAATACAAACACTAACATCTGAACACACTGTATGAACGATAAATAAAGATTTACAATGTCTTTTCAGTTCATTGTTTTTCCTCTAAGAAGTCAGTTTGGTGTATTTGGTGTATAGCTGCTGTATTACGAATTTTTTAACTAAGTAAGTGCTAAACATAAGCCGTCCTATCTTTTCATTATAAAATTATGCCTTTTAACATTTGACCTGACCGGGATGTGAACTCGCGCTGCAGCTAGCCACTACGCCCGAAGATATCTTAGCTTTTACAATAAAAAATTACATTATTTAGTTAGGTTCCCTATTTATAACTTTCAATTAATATTTAAGTTTATTTGTATGACATTTGCATGTTACATTTGACCCCCACGAATTTTTCTTGAAAGATTTTAAACGAAGTGAAAGAAATGTGACCCTCACAATAATTTATGCCATTACAATAATTGTTGATACCTAACTAATTAAAGGCAATATGTATGTGTCTAAACTTGACTAGTAATTATTCAACATTGTGACAATTTTCCGATGGAATTTTCACGAACGATCTATTTACATTAATTAATGCCATAGTTATCTTCTGGTTAAGTCTCTACAATGTTACAATAAGAATCAAGGTGGCACCACAAGGTAACATACCGACATTTTTTTCCTTTACCACACAGTTATGTTCACACTAAGTCGAAGTGCGGTAGTACGCACCAGTCTTAATACACGAGATACATAGATTACTCGTACTTATAAAAATAAAATAACAATTTTGTTGCTAACAGTACTGACATACGTACTTACAACTTTGCTAATCGAGATTGTCTCACGTTTGTCACACTCTTGTTGTTATTTATCTACATAAGTGATGTTTTTCTAGTCAGTCGCTGTGTTGATTGTGCAATAAACGTAAGTGAATTTATTTTTATGTTTGGGATTTTTTATTAAAAAATATCTTCAGGTTTAGAAGAATCTTATTTTTTGTGATTTTAATTAATTCTTTAAAATGTTGTTAATTTTCTACTCTATTAATGTAGGTCAATAAGTAACTGACCTCCTTGATAAAGACTTGTCATAGTTCACCGTTTAAAATTAAAGGTCAATTAAATGCCTACGTAGGTACTTGTAGTTATTTAACAATAATTATTGCTGTTTTTAAGTAAAGTAAACAAAACATTTTCCTCATTTTGTAAATTAAACCCGTTTCAGCTAATATGGGGCTGCATCTGACGGGATGGATGCTGCTAGCAGGGCTGGCTCTCACCGCTGCAGCACCAGCAAAATATCCATGGAAACGCGAGGTCACTGAGTGCAACCCCTTGGTCATCGGACACCGTGGAGCCAGTGGCTATGTGCCTGAACACACCCTTGGCTCATACGCCCTGGCCATCACCATGGGCGCCGACTACATCGAGCCAGACCTAGTCATGACGAAAGACGGGCAACTTATAGCGCGACATGACAACGAATTAGGCCTCACGACAGACGTCTCAGAGCACCCAGAGTTCGCGTCGCGCCGCAAAAACCAGACCGTTGACGGAAACGAAATCACTGGCTGGTTCACAGAAGATTTCACGTTAGAAGAAATAAAAACCCTTCGAGCTATAGAACGCATACCCGACATAAGACCTGGCAATGCCAGACTCAACGGAGCTTTCGCCATCCCTACATTCCAGGAGATCATCGATTTAGCAAAAAGCATGCAGTTGAGCATGCAGCGCGTAATAGGAATTTATCCAGAGATCAAGCACAGCACGCATTTCAAGAACCTTGGCTTGCCTATGGAGCAACTTGTGGTGAATACTCTTCATAATAATGGATATCGTGGTCGACAAGCCCCAATTTATATCCAGTCTTTTGAAATGAGTAACTTGAAAGAACTGAAAAAGATGACAAAATTGAGACTGTTGCAACTCTACGAAAGCGATAAATCACTGAAGCCATTCGATCAAGTCGGACTCCCTAATGGACTCACTTATGGCGATATGTCTACTCCAGAAGGATTGAAAAAGGTAGCGAACTACGCTTATGCAGTAGGTCCTGATAAAAGTTACATTATACCTCGTGATTCGGACAATAGGCTCGGGCAGCCTACTAGTTTCGTACAAGACGCGCACGCAGCTGGCTTGAAAGTCCACCCTTACACGTTCCGTGCTGAAAACACGTTCCTACCCTCTGAATTCAGGAACGGGGACTCTTCGACTGCCACTGGGGATTTAAGAAGTGAAATAAGGGTATACCTAGAGGCTGGAATCGACGGTCTGTTTTCCGATCAGCCTGACATACCTGTACGATTAAGAGACCCTTGTAAACTATAGTAAAATTTTACAATTCCTAGTACTTAACTAGACTGCTTGCATTATGGGTTATCTTAGTACAGTATTAATTGGACTCCAGCACCTCAAGCTAAACTGTGTCTTGTAATATTTAGTCTTGTAAGTAAAACCCTAATAGCTATTTTTCCAACGCCTTAAATGAAATATTACAGCTATTTTCAAGTTTTTGAAGTCTTTAATGTATAAAAATAATTTTTAGTTTACGTGAACAAGAACAAAGTACAACAAACTTATATTAATTTTACTTACAATACATAATTTAGCCTGTTTGATAAATCATAACTTTAATAAAATTGTACTAGGTACGTACAAGTTTTTATTAAGTAGGTTCTTAAGTATTGTAAATACATAAAATGTAACAAAAATCTGTAATAAATAACTTATTATAATTTTGCTTTAATTTAATACTTAGTACTTTTGCCCGGGGTTTAATGCCCTATCGCATAGAGTTATTAACTCTATGCCCTATCGTTTTTATACTTAACAGTTGGTACCTCTGGCGATTGACAGGACCTTACTCTACAGTGGCGCCATCTTGATGAGTGCAAATGCGATAGTCCTCCTACCACTTTAGCGCTCACCAGTTGGTGTCACTGTCATCGCTACTAGCAAGTGACAGGACCTTGCTTGCTAGTAGCGATGACAGTGAAGCTAAAAATACTTTGACAATAGGCATAGCATTAAAAGTCTCAAATAACATTGGTCCAATGCTTGAAAGAAATGCCAAAAAACTTCTGCGTACTATGACAGTGACAGCAAATGTCAACAATGACATTTATCATTTGACAATTCACAAACACGGATTCACGGAATATTTTCGGCTTTGTCGGTGTTGAAAATCTTTGGGTGAAAATATCATTTTAGTTTTCTAAAAAAATGTGAGTGTAGTCTTTAGACTCCCAGAGATGATAAGACAATATTTAAAATTCAGAAAGACAATAACAGTGGTGTGTGTTCTGTCTCTGTGTAAGTAATAAATAACTCTTTATTTACTTAGTTTATTTCCACATCATTAAAGTGTAAACCACTGTACATACCTAGAAAGCAATATAAACCAACAATTTATTTTAAATAAATACACGCTTGTTCTTAGAAATAAGGTTAAATGTTTACAAAGTAACATAAGATATCACCACTTTGTTCAGGTAAACACTTAAACTTTATGTTGTATTTGTTTCAGTACTTCTGCTAATTTTGATATTAAAAAGAGATAGTTCAGGTATCCATGATAAAATTACCGGTTACCAAAGAATAGCGAAAACCCAGGACCTCAAAGACATTTCTTACAAAGAATTTGAACCAGAGCCAAAGAAAGACCATGTTCCGGTGCTAAAAATGGAGCCAGAAAGCAAGAAAGATGACAGTATGAAGAGAGAGCTACAGGAAGCGAAGGCTCGGATAGAACAGCTAGAAAAGAAACTGGCATTCTTAGAAGGAAGGATCCCTCAGAAATACCCTGAAGTCAAATATCTGGGATATAAAGAAAGGAAAAGAATACTGGTTAGTATGTTTATAATAGAACATAAGTTGCATTTTGTGGTAATTCTGGAATATAAGCCATTTAATGTCCAATAAATGTATGTTCTTATGCATGGTTTTATATTGAAAATTTAAAAGCTATTGTATAACTAAAGCAAATCTCAGGTTACAGGTGGAGCAGGCTTTGTGGGCTCCCACCTCGTGGACGTTCTCATGACACAAGGCCATGAAGTAATCGTTGTGGACAACTTCTTTACGGGTCGCAAACGTAACGTCGAACATTGGTTTGGCCATCGCAACTTTGAGATGATTCATCATGATATTGTCAATCCTTTATATGTTGAGGTAATTATCATCCTTATGTAGTCTAATCAAAACTACACTCTTGATAAATATTATTTTATTTTTTATAAATAATCATGACTTATGACATTGTTGTTGTAAAAATTTCAGGCGGACGAAATATATCACTTGGCTAGTCCTGCAAGTCCTCCACACTACATGCAGAATCCAGTGAAAACAATCAAAACAAACACTTTGGGCACCATTAACATGTTGGGTTAGTACATAAAACCAACTGCTCAGCTAATTGGCACATTCTGATAAGAAACTGTTGCTTACCGTTCAACAACACTTCGATAAAGTTTACAAATTTACAGGGTTCGAGGATATATATCAAGGGATATATATCAAGATATATATCGGATATATATCCGATATATATCAAGCCGGTTTTTATGATATATATCAACTTTTAAAATTTGTTACTGTATTTGTACTTTTTGACATAAGATTTTTATTTTTTTAGGTGATTTGGCCGTATTTCAAAGATATTTTATGTTTTTGCTTTATTTGTCTGATTTAAAGTTTTAAAAACATTAAAAACATGTTTATGTAACACATATGCAATAGTATTCATGAATAATGCAATAAAATAATACTATGGCTTTCATACAAAATTGATATATATCAAAGTTGATATATATCAGATATATATCATAAATATCCGATATTTTGATATTTATAGTAGAGATGAAACGGATATCCGGCAACTATCCGGTAGGCCGGATATCCGGCCCTAATTTACTATCCGGCCGGATACCGGATAGTAACTCACTATCCGGCCGGATACCGGATATTAAAAAAAACTACAATTTCCTATTAATAAAATGAAATACATTAATCTTCGAGGTAAATNACTAGTCTATTCTACTAATAGACCCACTGATCGCGTTCGAACTTCGAAGCACCTGTGCGGCACTATACTCGTCACGACATCATCAACAGCCCTTTACAGTCCACTGCTGGACTATGAGCCTCCTCCACTATAGTGGAGGGTTTTGCCATAATCTCCACGCTTGGCAAGCGGGTTGGAGATCGCAGTTTAAAAGATTGATGTTTTTCAGAGAGCGCTGCTGCCCATTCTCTGTTTGATGTGTAGTCCCTAAGTCGCCTCTTACGACACCCGCGGGAAGAGTAGGGGTTGGTGACAAATGTATTCTACTCTGCCGTCACCACACGGCTTACTCTTACTACTCTTACACCACACGGCTTATACTCGTCACGACATGCAACGAGACAATGGCCAACTATCCGGCCGCCGGATATCCGGCTATCCGGCCTAGCAGCTGGCCGGATATCCGGTATCCGGTATCCGGCCAAACAACTATCCGTTTCATCTCTAATTTATAGTAAATATCGGATATTTTCGAACCCTGCAAATTTAAGTATATAACTCTTTAATTTGAACCTTATTGTTTGTAACTGTATAAACAAACTGTCATGACCTTTTAACTTGAAAGTTATCAGTGCAAATAACCCAATGTACTTAATAAGTTGATAATATTTACGATTTTCAGGGCTGGCGAGACGTGTTGGTGCAAGAATTCTAATCGCTAGTACATCTGAAGTCTACGGAGATCCTATGGTGCATCCACAGCCTGAGACCTATTGGGGGCATGTGAATCCTATAGGTCAGCACAATGTTTATTCATATCAATATTATTATAATGCCTATTAATTAGCAATCTAGTTCCATTACATCAGCAAAATTATATTATATCCGTTAATCAAGACAATACTATAGATTCCAACATACATTAAAAATTTGAAAACATTATCCACCAGTTGATTATTTGTTCTGCTTGTAGAACATTGATTTTTTCTGCTGTAAATATACCTACATTTAGTACATTTATTTCTTTTGTCTTTTCCAGGGCCTCGTGCCTGTTACGACGAGGGTAAACGAGTGGCAGAAACGTTAGCGTACTCATATGCAAAGCAGGAGAATGTATCGGTTAGAGTAGCGAGAATATTCAACACATACGGCCCGCGAATGCACGCGTCTGATGGCCGAGTAGTGTCCAATTTTATTATGCAAGCGTTGCAGAATTTAACTATTACCGTAAGTATACATAATATCTGCATGTATAAATGGCATCCTATGTAGTTGTAATAAGACCTAATTTTAAACAAAATTATGTATAAAAAGCATGCTATTGATTGTACAAAATCTGCTATGCTGCTTCTTCCATAAACCAAAACTAAGATTATACATTCTGTTAGGTTAGGTTGTTGTAATACTAGTAGTAGTAGTAGTAGTAGTCAGTGTAAGTATAATTCAGCTACAAGTTAATTAATGATTTTTAATAAAAAATTGTCTCTATTTCACTATCTTATAAGGATATTGACTATTTTTTCAGGTATACGGTAATGGAAAGCAGACGCGTTCTTTCTGTTACGTGTCAGATCTCGTGGACGGACTCCTATCGTTGATGGCGTCCAGTTACACTCTCCCCGTCAACATTGGGAATCCAGTGGAGCACACTATAGAAGGTACACAAACATGAGTGTTATTAACCAGTCAGAAAATTTATAAATTCCGCGTGTCCCTATTGCTATAACTGTTCCATGAAAGAGAAGCTTATTCGACGCATATTTGTGGACGTGAGAACGTCGTCTTTGTCGACAGTTTCGTATGTTGGCTGCGGGCCTACGCCATGCGTAAAAATCGTAATTTTACGGGTGTATAACAAACAAGCGTAAAATGACGAATACGCGTCTATGAGGCTACGCTTACGTAGACAGTAGACCTATATCAACGAAAATAGCGTCAATGAGATTCACTGCGTCATCAAACTATTTAATAATTTTGTATTGCACAAATTACTAATAGTTCCGTTAATCCCTTGTACTAAACTCAATGCTTATGCTACGAGTGGTTTCACCACAATAGGCGGCAGGGTTGGAACCCGCGTTCCTCGAAGCACGAGTAAATTAGTATTGTTTTTTTTTAATTTTTTTATTTTCTGTTACCCAATTGATATTTTTATTCATTCCAGAATTCGCAGTAATAATAAAGAATCTAGTCCCCGGGTGCCGAAGCACTGTGGCGACGGGCGCAGCGGTGGAGGACGACCCGCAAAGGAGGCGGCCCGACATCGCTGTGGCTGAGGCCCATTTGCATTGGACACCTAAGGTATGTAACGTCACATATAACTTCGAACACCCGCTCAAATGTCACCTGGTATATTCCACTTAGGCCCAGAACAGACGGTGAAACGCAACTACAACGATACTGCAACTTTCTGATGATTCTGATGAATGAAACTGAAACTTTCAAACTGGTCGCGTCATGTGTGGTCTCTCAACGGACGCTATGGCAGAAACTTAGATGCAACTCAAAAGTAACTAGCAGTTGCAGTTTCGTTTCACCGTCTGTTCTGGGCCTTAGAGCACATAACGACATTTTTTAAATTTTAATTCCACGAATAGCACCCGCCTAAAATATCGATAGGTGTTTTAAGTGAAATAGGCCAGGTGCTATTCATTCAAGTGCTATTTGGGCGAGTGCTCTAAGTGGAATACGTCTAGATCGCACACCGTATGGGCGACGCATGGGCGGGGGAATAGGTAATGCAAATCTCGAGAGATTGGGGCTCAAGCGAGATTATGATTTAACAATACTGCGAGATCTCGTGAGATTGGCATTTGGCAGTTTTGTGATTTTTTGCAAATATTCACAATATTTGAATAAATTAGGGCAAAAATAATCCGAGATCAATCTCGCTAAAAAAGGCCGAGATCGAGATTGCATTCCCTACGGGGGAAGGAGAGGTAGAGTTAACCGAGATGGTGTTCACACTATTACGTTGAGGGCTATCGTTTTAGCGCTCACCAGTTGGCGCCACTGTAGAGTAAGGTCCTGTCACTTGCTCGTAGCGAAGACAGTGGCGCCAACTGGTGAGCGCGAAAGTAGTAGGAGGACTATCGTATTTGCACTCATCAAGATGGCGCCACTGTAGAGTAAGGTCCTGTCAATCGCCAGGTGCCAACTGTTAAGTATAAAAACGATAGCCCTCCGCACAGTGTACTTGCGTCATAAACCCTGGCATTTTATGTACAGTCGTCAACACGTCAAACTATACCTTTTTGTTGCAATATCGCCCGTTTTAGAACTACATAAGATGTCGCAGTATTTACGTTGATGTGCTGTCGTCTGTACCTACATACTGTAATTATTACAGTGTAATAGATGCTATTTTATATTAACTTATTAACTATATTGAAATATTAACTTCCATTATGCCCAAGTTACAAAGGCACAAAATTTTGTGAACAACAGAAATGTATGCTATTTCCAATCTACATCTGATGATCTAACTTGATAAATTAAAAATACTATTAATAATCATCACAACAGTATCAGGTAAACCATAAGGTGTAACAACTTTGCAAGTTAACTTACCCTAATTTAAAAATTGAAACTGTACAGTGATGGATAAATGATTGATGATTAAAAACAGGGTTTAAAATAGTTAATTACAATAAAACAAATGTTAGTGATGTATAACTAAACACTTTATTACAAAAAGTGTACTAACATTATTCTAACATTCCAGGTTTCACTACAAGATGGGTTACAAAGGACTATTGAGTATTTTAGAGAAGAATTATCACGGACTACATTCTACAACAATCAGACGTACATGGATGTAAAAGTTAAACCACGCAATTAATATAAAATCATTTGATATTCCTTTACAAATGTGATATTAGGATGTCTGTCCAATTTGCTTAGTCGACATTAGACCTATTTATTATTACTATGTAGAAAAAGGTATTTACGTATATTTATACATAGATATATTATTATAAATATTTATCTGGTACTGATAGTACAAGCTTTGTTAAGTTTGGGACTAGATATGCAATGTAAATGTCCATGGATATTTAATTATTATAATTAATGATGCTAAGAAAAAGCCAGAAGTTATACATTATATTTATTTATTGATGCAAGGAAAATAAAAGGTTTTAAACTATAATTTGAATAATTATGGAAGTAGTTTCTTAATGCTTCATAATCTTAATTCTAATTTAGTTCAACTATTCTATCTTATTCTTTTCTCCTTTCATCACATTTTGAGAATAAGATAAGTAATTTGTATAATATCCCTTGGGGGAAGGCGGAAGGCCTTTGTTCAGCCGTGGACATCCTATGGCTGAAATGATGATGATGATGAATTTGTATAGTCTTATGTAGTAGAATGTAATGAATGTATTTCCCAAGGCTTTTCAGATTGTGTTCTCACATAGGTGCTTAATATTACAGATCTTGCAAATAGGTCCAATGTCGAATAACTTGCCTGAATCATTTTAACTGTTTATATTTTTCATATCTATGATTTATTCTTACAATTAATATCTTTTATAAATAATTATGAGTATTTATACATTTAACTGGATTGACATCCTTAAGTGACAAGTCTATTTTACTTTTATTGTAATTGTGTTCAAATTGTTAAATAAAAATTACATATTTCTCAAAAGTATTTACATTGTTTTTGTGACTGGACTTTATTAAAATTATGTTCTATTTGCAGCACATGCTTGGAAGTACGTCCCATTTATAGCTATAGGATTTCCGTTCAACAGACTCAGTGTTGCATAGATTCCCGCCTTTAGAATTAACTAGCGCTGTGTTCATGCTGAGCATGTCAGGTGGAGTCTGTTTGTGCCTTACTAACATGTGATTGCTGCATCCACGAGACTTCCATTCTGTATCGAACCTTGTGTCGTGTACTCTATTGATTCCGTCAAGAGCCGCTGTCCACACACCCATTGAAACATCTTCAGAGTTGTAGACGCTGAAACAAAACAACATCATATGGAAAACAGCTCATTGTAGCTTACAGATTATTGACTAGCAGAAGGAAAATTATTTTATCAAGATATCTTTGTATTATTAGCATGACCACTATGGTATAGGTGTGCCATCAGTGGTGGTTTTCTTAGGTTCACAAGGTTATGGTTTAGTGCTCCATACCTATACATAGAAATTATTAGTTTCACATTAAGACTTTGTCTCACCTTAAAAAGTCAGCATTTCTAGCAATGTAATCAACAATGCTCCTGGATATAATATAGCCACCGCCTAGAGCATAAGGTAAGTAGGAGTCGCATAAGAACCAGTCTTTTTCCTGCCATTTACCGCTCAGACGGGCTGTCGCTCTGCCATCAAAATACCCCCAATACAAACCTTTGTATGAGGGTAAAGTTTTCTGAAAAGATACAAAAACCTGTTTTAATTATTCTGTAATAATTGTTTTACTTAGAGACATAAGAAATTTTTATTACCTTAAAAGAAACATACTGACTCAGTTCTGGACCGTTCATTTCTGGTGCATAAGCGTCTAAATCCTTAATAATAAGATCAATTCTAACAAAGGAATCATCATCACATTTTATAACATATTTTAAGCCCTTCAAATTAGCACTTATCCATTTCATTGCATTTATTAACTTTGAAGTTAGATATTCATATCTATCTAGAAAGTCTAAAAGAAGCATGTCGTTACTATTCTGTGATTCTCTTCTTAAACCTTCTAATACCATGTCATGTAAGCCTTGGGTGCCCACAGCAAAGAAAAATTTAACGAATTCATGTTTGACACCTGTTCCAACGGAATCTTGGTTCCATTTGTAAAGTTTCTCTCCATTTTCTATAAATATGTTTTCTGATAACTTTTTCCAAGTTATTCGTATTGCATCTCTTTTAACTTTATTATCAGGACTGCTTAGAATCAACACGGCGTATTCCACATCACTTGATAGAGCCTTTTGTGGTTTCTTTGTGGCTACAGCAGCAACACATTCGAGTCGTAAAAAGCTTAATGTAATTCCACAACCAATATAAAAGAAAAATAAACTGACTAGAACCATTGTTTTATACCTTCGCAATAAGCTCAACATTATTTATTTTATTTACACTGTCTCCCCCAATGTTCATTTTGGCTATACAACAAATGTGTTTTTACATCTCGATTTCACGTCTTTTTTTAAATAAAGTTAATATTTATTAAACTCAGTCATCATTGAACGATACGATATAGTAACCCACAATTTATTGAAATTATCTTCACGAAAACATTGAAATTACAACAAATTATAAACAAATTGTGACAGCCAGGCCAGGCAGACATGAAAGCATAGAGAAAAGTAATACATATGTCGCAGGCAAATTGTATGATTCCGCATTTTACAAACGGCGTCGTCAGTTTACAAACGCTCGCTGGTCTATGAAATGCCGAAGGCAAAATGTAAATTGCCTGGGCACTTTATAATATGCCAAAACATTTGATCACGGGGTGGAAACGCCATAGAGTTTGACAGCTCCATAGAGAGTGAATTTTTTTGACAGTTCCGAGAGGAAGTGACTTTTTTTATAGTTGTCCTTTATGCGACAATGGCAATGGTCTTTTGCGTGTCTGGAATCAAGTTAGTAAACATTTTCGAATTACAACTTCAACTTTTATTTATAAATTATTTTATTGAATCTATTTGCATTCTATAAATGAAATGTTTATTTAAAAGTATATTAATTCAAAGTCGTAATTTTCACTTTAATCAATTTAGTTCCGTCTCAAGTCTACAACTGAGACATTATTAAAAAAAAAAAACGTCAAAAATTTTCATCGAAAAAACGTGTTTTTCTTTAAACAAATTTTATCTAAAATCAATAATTTCTCAATCAATATTAATAAGAACTACATGTGCATGGATTGCCAGTTGGATTGATGTTTGTTAAGAAGACATTTCTCTCAAATAAGATATCCACTCGAGAAAGGTTATTGCAGCTTGCCGCAACATCATGTTTTATCAAGTATTGAACCACACAAAGGATTAAATCTTCATTACAATATCATTCATAACTCCATTTAAATCAATGGAAACTAAATATGGATCGTTTCATGGAGTAACAACATACTTTGGAGTTTGGACCCAAAATACAATACACGTAGGTACATTGCAGGCATAGATTGCAGGACACAGTGAATGATGATACGTGTTTTATACAGTGAATAAGTACCTATTTGTTTCAGGTTAATATCGAACTTATAAGGTGTTAAGTTGCAATTACAATAAAAGTGCTTGCTATGGAATCACCGCGTCATTATTGTCAACTGTTACTTAAAATCCAGATGAACCAACCTTTACTTCCTATTCAAATAAGTTTAGAAGAAACCTATACAAGCAATAAAACCAGACCAAGAATGCTTGATTACAAACGATGAACTCATTTCATTTGCAAGTTATGCCATGACATAAATGCATTAAATTAGGAAGATTTGTATTAGATGAATATTAACTTCTGTTGATAAGAACATTTGGTAAGNCATACATGAAAGCACAGATGAAAGCAGTGTTGCCAGTCGGGTCTTGTCAGAAATTACCAGAAGTATAAAAAAATGTATTATTATTATTATTGGTTTTTGGGCCTTTATTTGCGCCAACTCGACCAGGTTTGATCTATTGTGGCAGCCCTTGTCTTTAAAGTTCACTGCTTAGTCCCGTTGAGTCTATAAAATTCCAGATTCTTTGGAGCGTGATATCTGCTATCTCATCCGGGTGCATGATGTGTCGCCCGAGATGGATACTTCTTTTGCTCATAAGCGGGAAGCATGAGCAAAGAACATGCATGGCCGTTTCTTCTTCTGTATGGCAGAATCTGCACAGAGTTTCCTCGGTCATGTTCATGTTCGATTTATGTTTGTTTAGTTTGCAGTGGCCGGTCAGTATTCTAGTCACTGCACAGGCTTTGTATCTTTTGAACTTTAGCAGTTCCTTAGTTACTTTATTGCTATATCCCTGAATGAGTGCTTTTGAGTGTTTTTGTCCCGATGTAGACTTCCACCACTCAATAGCCTCTTGTTTGCAGAGGGCGGTTAGTAGCGTGGTGGCTCGTTGTTTGGTAATGCCACAGAACGGTTCTACGCCGATTTGAGGGTTATCGGCTCCATCTCTGGCGAGTTCATCTGCTACTTCGTTTCCTTCTATATTCGAATGTCCTGGTACCCATGTAAGCGTTACTTTGTTGGTATTTCCCAGTGCATTCAGTGTCTCGGTGCATGTTTGCACCAATTTTGACGTGTATTCGAAGGATGTTAAGGCCAGCAGTGCTGCTTGGCTGTCTGAGTTGATGTAGATGTGTTGATCCTGGAGCTTCCTTTCCAAGTTTATCTCTGCACATTTGTTTATGGCAAAGACCTCGGCTTGGAAGATTGAGGCTTCAGTCCCCATGTTTAGGCTAACTTTGAGCTTAGGCCTCTCTCCGTAGATCCCGCAACCTACATTATTTTCCTTTTTGGATCCGTCCGTGTACCAGACGTGCGTGACTACCTTCCTTAAATGACATTTGGCCTTCTAGCCATTTGTCTCTAGGAGGTATGTTTACGGAATATAGTTTGGTAAAAAAAAAAATGAAACTTTTTTGAATAAAAAGTAATAAATCAAATTCATGTTTAAATGCAGTTTATGACATAATTTTTAATTTGTCACTATTAATATTTTTTACTGAATAACCTTTAAAAGTTAATTCTACAATTTCTGAAAAATCACCTAAAAGTAACCTTTTCATTAGTGTAACCTAAAAGTAACCAATGCAGTTCAAAAGTAACCTAAAAGGTCACAAAAGTAACCTTCTGGCAACACTGGATGAAAGTGACAGTGAGTGACACTGACATTGACAGTTTTATTTTTTTGGTGTGATTTTTTTTTCTTTGGTTTCAGGAAAAGATATGGGAATTACGCTTTACAGCCCAGTCTTCAGTTTAAAAAAAAAATGTTATTAATCAACGAGGGTTATGAACATACATAATTATACCCATTGCATTACCAAAAATAATATTTACTAAACGCGCGCTAACCTCAATAATAATGGCAACCATATGTCACTTGTCAGTGCCATTGTCTTGTCAGCTGCTCAATCGTCCTTCAGTTCTAAAGTGATGTAAGGTACAAAACTATCGATAATTTGGTAATCGATATTTTTTTTATTATATCATCATCAAAATGCAAATGCTCTATTCTATTAGGTTATTATTACTCGGCATGACGTGAAGATGCACTGCATCTGGTGAGAGATGCGTCTACTTCCGGTCTCTACTATATTTTTAACTCTAAAATGACGTCATTTCCGCAATAATTAATAGGAATTGATTTGACTTACTTCCTTTTGCCGCCATTTCTTTCATTTCCGTTTTAGTTAGAGTCAAAGGAGTTCTTCATAGAGTGTTTAGCTTTCGAGCTAGCAACATCATAAGTAGAAACTCTGCTCAAATCTTTACTGAAATGTATTTCTCAACAACGTTATTATATTTAAATTCGAAATTTGCATCTACCGTCTTAATTATTAAAAGTGCAAGCGGTTGGCAATAAACGGGACGAGTGCCCTCCGCATGGAATCAGAGCGTCAAATACCAGAGAAGCAGAATGGAGTTTAGCTACCCGCCTAAAACAGAAAGCGGATGAAATGTGGTAAGTATATAGGATTCTGATAGCTTGAAGACTCTTCTCAGTCAAATGAGCATTTTTACGAATCTCTATTTATGCACAGCTTGTACACATCTAATAGAATACGACACCGTCCACCCCAAGGATACCCGCCTCGGATTCAAACGCGCTGTTAGCATAATATTTTGGTGAGCATTGGCAGGTGAGAGATGATGAGACGTTATAATTTATTACGCGGTAATTTTACTATCCAGCCCCCTAACTAGCCACCCTAGAAGTGGGAATTGTAATTTCTAAATCACTTTGCTCCGTCGTTTTTTCTTTGTATTTATTTGTCCTTTGTCCATTTGGGGTTGACTAAAAAAACAAGCGTCTAACTAGCTAATATGAACGAACGAAAAACTTGCCAATAGTACTTATTACCCAACTGCGCTAGAAGGAGGGTTATGTTTTTCGAGTGTAGTATGTATATTTCTTTGGCACGGCCTACAGCCTAAACGGCTTGACTGATTTTAGCGTGAGAGGTGAGGTCTTAATCGTGAGAGTGACACTGGCTAATTAAAATTGAAATAAATCAAAATGGCTGATATTAGGCGCCATAATGTCTTAAATTTTTTTTTCTTATCCTATCGAGTGGGGTATCAAAATAAAGGGCTTTTTTAAGTAGCTTACAAAAATGGTTAGTACATAACTAAGAAGATTCAAATAAAACTATTATTGAAAAAACAAAACCCAACTGCGTAAAAATTAACTAAAAAAAAAACAAGACATGCAGTTGATGCAGTCGGAGGCATAAATTACATATCACCAACAAAAGAATTAGTCATTTTGATTCATTTTTACGCAGTTTAGTTTTTGTTTTTTCAATAATAATTTTATTTTTATCGTATCGCTGCTATATCGATCGATAGATATCAAGTGTTTAATGCGTACAACACTAGTAGGTTTAGCCGAATGGATTTGATCATCATCAGTCAAATTCACCGTCAGTAAATTTTTAGCGGAGAGCGCATTGAAACGGCTCAACACTTATTTTACTCGGAGTAATCTTATCTCAATGTTTGAGCCGTGAATCTGTTGCTGTGATATAATTGTTTTGTTTTGCCGATAAAAACGAAGTGCTTCAGAGTGATTGATACTGACGGAATAAAAGTGTTTTACCGTAGTTTGTAAATTACAAGTATTTTTGTGGGTATTATTAGGTAACATCTCGTGCCGACGAATTATAAAATTGTCGAACTTATTCAATAGAGCCAGTGAACATTGATAATGTTAAAATCACCATAATTATTAAAAGTAACCTGTTTTGTATTCTTCTGATCGCGGTTGTTCCAGTAAGTACTACCTATTTTACACTATCAATAAATGACCATATTAAGTACAACTTAATTTTAGCCTAGTGTGATTTTCTGCTCTAATGGAAATTATTTTTATTGATGAATATTAATTTATAAGCTTAAAAAACTATCATCACTCGAACCATCAATGAATCCTTACAGGAAATGCAAAACATATGCAGGGTTACCCATGAAAAATTTAACATTATTTTGGATATTTTTAAATGTTTTTTTTCTATTGTTGCAGTTGTGTGAACCATGGAATCCCTGAAGAAGAAAGGTCGCCCACCTCATCCAAGGGCCAAAGCCAACCCATTATCAGCATTAACATTTTCGTATGTACCCTAAAAATATGTAATAATGTACCCCCAATTTTTTTGCTCTGGAAATTTATTAGGGCATAGTTTTAAATTCTTTTAAATCTAATAGATTTGCATGCTTGCATACTGTATAATCTGAAAACGCTGCGCAGCCAGATTTTTATCAGTATCATTGTTGATATTGTATGTAAAATGATATTTTTACTACATGCAGTTTTTAATACGCAGTTATCTGTCTGTCTGGGATGAGTCCCAGACAGACAGATAACTGCATGAGTACATAGTTGTACTAGGTGTGCACCATGTTATCAACCCAACCATAAAAAAATCATAATAAACCTTGACTCAACGATGATCTCAGGTACCTATAAAATTTGTCTGCAAATCATTTATTTAGGTCTTTAACTTGAAATTCTCTATTAATTTTATTAATAATTTTAGTCTGTTTTATATGCTCACACATTTGATTGATTGTGATTAATTTAATATTATTGTTGCAGATGGACTCTTCCAATGTTTTTCGGAGGGCTGAAGAAGGAAATGGAAGAGCATGAATTATATGAACCTCTAGATGAGCATGCTTCTGGTAAGTTTCTTTTATTCAAAAGCCTATTACATAGTCAAATTTTTTTTGGATAGTTAAATGTTTGTTTCTTTTACAAAAAAAGTAATGAATCGATGATGATGACAAAATTGTATTTAAATCTCAGTAAATAAATTTAACAACAGCAAAACTTAACCATAACACATCAGCTATACAAATGGATATTTTGGTGTGATAGTAAAAAATACACCAGTATTTTTTTACATTTTTCTTTTCTAATAAGTGTGAAAAGCTTCAAATTTCTAACTATTCATAAGTCTTTAGTACGGTACGGTATTTACTTGACATTCCACTTCTATTTTACCATAATAAGGAGCATACACATTTTAAAACTGCTTATTGATGAAAACACTTATTATTACCCATCTGTCGTCCAATGAAGTTTTGCACCGGGCATGAGATATCATTCGCGATTCAACACGCCGCACTCTGTAAACAAATGGACAGCACTATTTGTGAACAAACATCCTTTCCATTGAGAGATTTCCGTTAATCCACAGTATCGGATTTAATTAGTACTTTATTTTTTGGCTCAAAACTTGATTCATGAACTAATTACAAGCTGTTTGAATCTTAAATTTAATCAAAATCTGTTCAGTAATTTTTGCGTGAAAGCCTAATAAACATCCCTTCTGAATCCTCATATAAACTTTCAGTTTGTGGAAAATATTTAATTAAATTAATACAAAATAAGGTATCTGAAAAAGTCAAATAAGAAGGTAAATCGTAGAACATGGCTACGGACACCGACAGGTCGACCCTTTATCTAACAAACCATCAGTAAACTTACGGTAACGATGACTCGATCATAAATTCTTTTGCTGGAACAGCCTCCCTTTGATGCTTTTTAGACGTAAACCCTGTACAGAATAGGTAAAATATTTGTCATCCAACGCGTGACTTCTTCAAGGCGAGTTTTGTAAGTCCAAGATAATTATCTAGGAGCTTTTACGAGCTGAAATTGCAACATTTCTCCAAACAGAAATGTATGTCGTAAAACCGCGATTTTCCTGAAATTAGCATATCTAAGTTCCGTTAAATGTAGATGAGTGGTAGATACAGGTGAAGGCCGCACTCGGCGTCATTTGTATGACGTCAAGGCCAGGCAAATGCCCGCCGACTCGAAGTATCTATGTAATACCACAGCAATTATGTGCGTTATAAACGTGTGACATAAAACGTATGTCTTGAAGGCAATCGCATCGCCATACATAATCTCCTTTTTTACGTCGGGAAATGCTTTGCGCATACCCACTGGCCGATGGGGACGACCATGGGTTGTGTGAGACTCCCCGCCTATCGTATCGTATCCTATGTTACCTACTTATACCTACCTACCAATATCGATTTTGCTCCGTTGTCATGGTAACTAATTTTAAGCTAAAAAAGCAATGACTTGAATTTTATCCTCATGACTTCGTTAGCACTCGCTTGATAGCGTCATCCTCATAGAAATACTTTTGCTTAGTTTTTTGTCATGCCCGCTTAGAATGTTCGATACAAACAATAGCAGGTATACCATGTCAGTTTAATAGACAAAATAAAAAAACTAAAACTACCAATTATTTTAGAAGGTTACTGTTTAACTCTCTTTAAAATGCAAAGACATTACTCACAGTTTATTAATGGTATGGTATCGATCGACACAATATGTAAATGTTGTCCGGATAAACTCATTTTCCTTCCACTATTGATTGAGAACTTTTATCATTTGCATTGTTATCTATCTTAACTATGTTAAATATCTAGGAAGTTCCATAACACGGCATTTTGTTGAAGCATTAGAATTCTAATTCACATAATCTGGGGCATTTCGTATGCGAATTAAAATTCTACTGGTAGCTTAACGACGCGACGATATTCGGAAAATGTAGGTTCCAGCTACTCGTAATACCTACGTCGGAAAAATGTAGGTTGATTCCTGCTCGTAATGAAAATGAAAATGATATTTATTTAGTCCAAAAATATTACAGTACATGATTTAGTTACTGTTACATTCTGAATAGAAACGGATTACAATTTATACAGTAAGTATGTACTAACAGCATCACTGGACTCCACACTAGGATTCCCTGTGTCGTGGAGACCAGTCTTCCCGTTGAAATTTCGAGATAAAGTGCGTGCATGACTTTGTATGTATTTTGAAAATTTTAACTAACTTGAAAAAAAAATCGAACTGCCTAAGGCAGGAATTGAACCCACGAATATTTATAATTATTTACAATTTTCAAATAAGTTTGAGATGCGACTCTTATCGTTATAAATTAAATAAGTTTGTGTGTGTGTGTGTGTGTGTGTGTGTGTGTGTGTGTGNCTGTAAATCAGTTTATAAGCAATTTTTGAATAGAATTACTATGTAAATGATAAAAGTGTTTATTACAGTTATTTTATAATCAAAGTTTTTTATATAACTATTTGGGATCAAACATTATAAACAGATTTAAAAGTTGTAAATTTTTTGGACCAAAATTGCACTCTGAGACCAATTAACAAAAAAAAAATTGACTGAATAAATATGATTAGTTTTTTATCTGTCATAGTATTCATGACTTTCTACTGCCTGGTACACGGTGTAAATCCATTTGTTACAAGTCTTTCATAATTTTTTTATCGAGTGATTTCGGGCTTTTGACTAGACCCGCAGTTTTGACGGCCAATTTTAGAAAAGTGCGCAGACTCTAGCGACCCAAGCTTTACTGGCTTACTGACAAATTTAGTAAACGAGGCTTTCCTGGAATGCCAGCTCTCTGGCGCAAGTTTTCAAAAAGTTATAGCGTAAAATGTTACCCTGGTCTACTATAGTAGTCCGCGCGTGTACTCTAGTGTTAACAAAGTCGAAAGCTCTAATGTTATGTGGATACAGCATTTTCGATCGACGTCAGAGAATCTCCGCAATTTATTTTGAACTTTCGGAAGCAAATTATTTGAGGAATATCCCATGACAACCGTATAGAATATTCCGTGAGTCACCGTCACCATAATTTGATAAGCTTTTTACGACCGCCACGGTACGGTAAACATGGCAAGCGTCTTTAGATTAGATTACAAAATATTAAGGTGCTTAGAGTTTATTTCGAATTGAAAACCGAAATTGGGGTTATTTTTGTACTCGTAGAATCGACTTGAAATATAAATATCAAAGTTCAAAATATCAATATCTATTTAGGAATACCTACATTAAGACAATTTTAAAATAAATCTTAAAAAAACATACTCCTAATAACATTTGTTAATGGATCAAGATGTCTTATTTTGAAATACTAATCAGAAGCCATTTAGGTATTTTTCACAATCTTAAAAAAATAGGAACCAAGCTACCTTCAGTTTTCATAATTTCCATATTTTGTTCAAAGCTCGAACACACCAGACTGTGCTAATTCTAATTTATTTAATGAAACTATTAAACCAAAGTAGTCATTCGCTTTTCCCTTTAAAACAGTAGCCCAGTTTTATGTTAAAACAAACTCATTTCGCAGATCTTGGTTATTATAAACAGTTTATCTCCTAGCTCTTTGCGTTTGTACATGCCGTTTGCTTGCTTTATGACTATACATTAACCTTATTTTCTTTGAGATTAGTTTTTACGCACTTGATTTAATATTTATTCTGTATTAATACCACAGAATAAGTCCTACTTGCTATAATCTAAGGAACTTTGAAAATGTGTTCGTTTCGCCTTTCGGAACGTTTCGTTCGTTGTCGCACGTTTCAGTCGCGGAAATGTAACCATTTTCACGACTGAAATGAAGAAAATCTAAACCGCGTAAGATAGATGAAGGGGGTAAAACGGGATCCACGCGTACGAAGTCGCGGGCGGCCGCTAGTTCCGTATAAAAATTCAATGTAATAGAACATAGGTAATATCTATGAAGTAGAGATAAAATAAGAATTTATTCTGCTCTAAATCAGAAAATTATCACTAAGAATGACAATGACATGCGTATTAAACGCACGCATTCTGTATCAAATCGTCAATGTGCGCGCTTTAGCGGCTACCAACAGATAAATGTTTAGATTGTACTAAATTGTGCGGTTGCGCTGTTTTGCAACAGTTGATTAGAGTTAAGTACTATGTAACTACACGAGTCCTTTATTGCTCAATTGACTGCGATTGTACGTTGGCTCATTTACGAGATGATATATGGCTGTGAAATAAACGATTTGTAGTATACAAAACAAATGGACGTTTATTCATTAAATTCTGGACATGTGGGAACGCGATTATTTAGTACCACAATATTTTTGTTAAGGTACTAATTAATAGCCATGCACGTTTTCAGTATTGTAATTTTAAAAATCAAACGCTGTTGCTTACTTCCGCTTCTTCGTTAGGTATAATAGTTCTTCATAAAAAAGTTTATCGTAAACGTATATGGTTTCCAAGATAAAATATAACGGTTATCTAGGGTCTAGTAGGTCATTCCTGTATCGGTTAACATGCTCGCAACTATCAGTCACTCCCAAGTTACCATTGTCCTGAAACGTAAGAGCATTGGATACTAAGCATAAAATAGTTTAATAACTACATAATATGTACATAGTTTTTAACCTTGACTCTGACTCTTACATCAATAGTCAGCCAGCAGTAGTGCATAAAAGTTCGTAGACCGTGGAACCCTAAGCGGTCGCATGAGACTGCAGTAACAATCGATTTCTATCGTCTCGATTCTTTGGTACTTCAATTGAAGGGTTTCTCCAATCAGTAAGCTTCTCGGTGTTACATTATAAGTAGTACAATAAATTATGCTGTTGCCAGTGAAGTAACCGATTCGATAATATTAATTTTATTACGCTGACCTATGTTCTCCTTGCAAATTGTTATTTTATTGACCGTGTGAACGGCCATTATTCGCCGATAAGCTTGAAAGGTTGTTTATACAGAGTTGTCGCTTTCTACGTCTGTTGTGCTCACGGCAAAGTCAAGTCACATCTCAGATCATAGTTCTATGATCTGAGAGTCACATCAATAAAGTATTAATTTGCACAGTTATACAAAATAATGTTGGCACTTTTAACCGCGGCAAAATTTCAGTTTCAACTTTTTCTTCAAAACTTGAGAGGATGATGTTTGCAAGGTTTTTATTTAAACAGTCAATGCCTACTTTACATGATTATTTTTCTATGACCTAGGTAAATGACATCACTGTCGTGTAACGTATGTGTAATCAACGTGTTTTAATTATTATTTCAACGCTGACTAGAACCTAGTACTTATTCTGTGCTAGGACTCAAAATTTTGGTAAGTTAAAATGTAGGTCAAACCATTAACTGTAGCCTACAATTAGCATTATTTAAAAATATTGCATACGGTACTTTTAATAGCTACTTACAAGGAAATTCAAAGTAACAAACACTAAGTCGCGATCTTTCATTTACTCGTATCTAGCTACTAAATATAGAACTGTCTTTCAATGCCAATAAAGTAGTGGACATTGAGCACGTATAGAATACATAAATTATCGCGCTGACCGTACTAAACTTTCGGGTTTTCTATCATCTGTCTGCGATAAAAATAGCCTGCGTTAGTTTGGCGTTATCTAACAAACCGTTATCGAACGTTTTTTGATCTCAGACGTGTCTAAAATCTATTAGGTATCACGATTAATGGTGTTCAGATAATGTTATGATGAGATAGGTGATGATTAGTATGAGTAATACAGGATTTTTTTTTCTCACTAACCCTATTTTGTGTAATCCTCAGATGGCAGTAAATGTAATTTTACAAACCTGTAACAACTAAATAAACACTACAGTAATTTGTAAATGATTCATATTTTCAGTAGAAAAAATGAATTTGGGAAAATACGTTATCTTAGTTTTGCAAGAATATTTCCACTTGCTAAATACATTGTAAATATGTGCGTGTGCTGTAAAACTACACATTGTTTATTTTACCTAGTAATGTTGAGGGTTTTCCGCCTTATTCAGGTTAAAATCACTTACTTCAATAAGTTTATGTAAACGTGTTGAGATTTTGTATCTCGATCCAGAGTTCTTCGTTTGATTCCCGGTTCAAACACAAATATAAGTTATCAAGTTGACCCAATTTGTGAGTTTGTTCCGATTTTGTCGAATGTTTGAATATTCACCTTAGTCGTTATGATGAAATATGAATGTATGCGGAGTTCATAAGCAAACACCCGAACTGAGTCAGTTCAGTCAATTTTGGGCTTTGCAGTGAAGCTGTCACACTTGCTATGTCGCCGAAGAGTGTGACGTTTGCCTTAATTGTTATTTCACGTTCTTTTGTTTCTGTTAATTCAGGGTCGGTGTCTAGCGTACTTCGCGTGTTTTTTACGCGCATCTTTTTTACCAACGGCTGCACATTAAGCTAAAACATCAATTTTACATTAACTATTGTGGATTGAATATTCTAAAACCCCATGATAAAATCAATTTCCAAATATGTAGTATACTATTTAACTAAAATGTATAACTATAAATGGGTCTCCCTGTTATGAACGTTTGCGCCTTTCCAATCTTCGTAACTTCAAGTAGTACGAATTTATACTTTCATATTATCAAATATTATTATTGTTGTATAACCCTGTTATCTAAATTAGTTCAAGTTGAAAGACAGACGAGGACGGAGTTCGTTCATCCGCTTGACCGTTAGTCTAGGTTTCAAGTTTTTAAGGTTAACGTGGTACTACAAATAAGGTTAAATTGAGATAAGGTTTTATTATTTGCTATGCAGAATACCAACTCGGTGATTCATTGTGGAAGTGATAAAGATACAATGCGGGCTTAAGTAATTGCTTAATTTTGCAAATCAAATAAAGCTAGGAAATGTGAATAGTAAACTTTCCACCTTTTTCATTTCGGTTTCATTGAAATAGATGTAGTTTCGGCGAGCTCCAGGCTTGGTTGAATATAACCCACATTAATTTGAACTTTATGCTGTAATGAATACCACTGAAAAATTAAAATATTTTTTAAGTCTGGTTATACCTTTTAAAAGGTTAAGTTTATTATGTTTTTTTTATTTGCTTTTTGCCAAAATACACCTCCTGGCTTGCTGTTTCACGTACCGGATTGTAAGTAATCCACTGGGTATGCAATATCAGGCATCAGCTGTAGTCGCGGATTTGAATCTCTATCGGGACTATTGTTGAAGCGATGTAAAAGTGTTTACTCACTCATGAAATCAATCTCAGCGTGTTCAGGCCGTGAAATAAGTATCGAATTGATGTTAATTATATTATTAAAATAGCCAATTATTTTACTACCTGCTCAACCTATGATCATTTACAATTTTTTGTAGCGTTTGTCATCTTGTCTTCTATTTTGTTACTCGTAGATCCACATAATTATTTTGGATACCAAATACTTAGAATGTTAACACAGATTCTCGACAAATTATATCTTACAAAGTTTTGAAAACGCTTTCCAAAATGTAATTACTGCGTAAGTCAGAAAGTTTTGAAGTGTTAGAGATACTTAGTTCGATACTAAAAGCCGAAATTAAATTAATTAATTTGTAAAAATAGTCAACTACTTAAATAGGGAAAGTACATAATTATACATATATGTATTACACAATGAAAACTTGAAAAGGTAAATAATTTTAAGACCAACTCAATTTTTAAACTGAAATAATAGTTGTTGTAATTACCACATTAGGGAAATACTAGTATTATCAGTTATATTATGATGACATACTCGTAATATGAATATTTATGGATCACTCACAGTTTATCTACATAATATATTGCTATTTATTTTTAACTATACTACATCCAAGATAACGTTTGTAAACATTTTCATTCATAAATATGTCTCGTCGTACGCACATCAGTGATTTAATGATAAGAAGACACAAGTAGTGTAATCTTGAAGTTATTTGTATATGATTGTGTTTAAATATTCCTTTAAAAATATTTTTCAGTAAAAAGTGAAACTTGGTCTCAGTCATCCATAGCATGCAAATACGAGACTGTTAGATAGGGTCTATGCGGAAACAGAATCAAGTTTTTGCCTTCTTCTTCTTCTTCTTATTCGTTACGCTCTTGGCAGAGCGGTCGTGGTCACGTTGAGGCGTTGTTCACATCGGTTGTAGAGGCGGATACAACTCTCCGCACGATCTCCCTCCATCTCTCTCTATTGGCAGACTGTCTGGTGCAGTCACATAAGCCGTCTCCCACTGCTGCTTTCACTTGGTCGGTCCAGCGCATTGGTGACCTGCCACGCGATCGGGTTCCTTCGACTTTTCCCTGGACGACCAGTCGTTCTATGGATCTAGTTTTTGCCTAGTCTAAAACTAAAATCACTAAGGCTTAGATTACCTTTAAGAAAAAAAATCATGCGCGTAAATTGGGGGCCGGGTGGGCTGTGCCCATCTCAGAATGGTCTAGTGCCCACCCCAGGTGGTAGGGCTACAGATTTGAAGACGATCGTCGATCCCCCCCTATCGATCGTGGCATGTCAGGGGCTAGGCCCTGAAAAATAACCCTAGATAACCCAAATGAAAAAAATAATACAATAATCATAGTTTATAAATATTAATAGCTATCAGATTCCCATAACCACTTCCTACCCCTTCCCTCCCCAGGATCCAACAGCCCCGAATGCTCGGCTTCTTCATCAGCTACTTTGGTCAAGCGGAACAGCTCCTAATGCACGATCGGCTCGTGCAGTTGCGCGATCAAGTGATCCACGCACGACTGTACGAGCTAAACGACAGCGATGTGAAGTTAGCAATCTTAAAAGTCCATAAAGGCGCTTCTAAACGGGCAAATTTACGAGTCTAGGGGCTTCTAACCAATATTTTTTCTATAGTGTGTGGCTGCAGCACAACACGTGGCCATAGAATGCTCAGCCGTATCCTGCCGATATTTTGCCCTGAAGTGGTGGTAGGGCAAGCTACATGTGGGACGTGTATAAGTGGCCGAAAGGACAAATTGTAAAGAATTTGAATGTGTTTGTTATGGCCGGGCATTAGTTGTCAAAATTGCAGCCACATTATTATTGCAAAAAAATAAGCCCGTTTAAAAGCTCCTTGAATGTTAGTCTCAATTAGTAGAGCATGTGTACGTTTACTAGTTCTGTAGTAATCTAGTACATAATTAGTCCATCTATTTTCCGACGATTTATGTATTAAATATTTATAGGTACTGATTGTTACATGCTATGCATGAGCAAATACCTAGGTGTTCGTTCGTTCGTTCGTTCGTTTCAGCCGAAAGACGTCCACTGCTGGACAAAGGCCTCCCCCAAGGATTTCCACAAAGACCGGTCAATGCAAGCGGCGCAGGACCTAGGTGTAACGTAATTTAATTAAATTATGATAAATATCATTATTTTTCTTATGTACCTAGCATATTTATCGTATACAACATTTAATTCTATAGGTATTGTAATGCGGTCCAGTACTTATTATTTACTACTTTATTTATTATGTTAAAAATGTTAAAATTAATTAGATAACCATGTAGTTTGTCGATTGACGACAAACTACATGGTTATCTAATTTAGTATTGTTATTTAATATTGTTTTAATATTGTGAATATCATTTTGGAATGAATTTATTTATTCGTAAGCATGTAATATGGTAGTGTCAGATACAATTTTGTTTTAAACTACTAAAAAGGTCAATGTATTTTCATGTTTTTATTTTGTTCCACCAGGTTAGCCCAACCAGTGTTCCTGGGCAAACTGGTCCAGTTCTACAGTCCTGAAAACAAGAACATGGACTTCACCGAAGCGTACTTATACGCGGGGGCCGTCGTGCTCTGCTCAGCTCTGAATGTATTCGTCGTGCACCCTTACATGATGGCTATTCTGCATATGGGCATGAAGTTCCGGGTGGCTTGCTGTTCACTTATTTACAGAAAGGTTAGTGCGTTTTCTTTTTCTTTTCAACCGACTTCAAAAAAGGAGGAGGTTCTCAATTCGACCCGTATGTTTTTTTCAGCCAGTGCGCTCTTTAAAAAGTATTTAATTTATTTTTATGGCATCTCATTTGATTTCTGGCCTTTTTTGCTCGAATTTAAAATAATGTGCGTGCGTACTGTAGTGTTAATTTAATTGCTAAGTATTATATGTCGGTATACTACTAATAAATTCATTCGTAGTACTTTGACAATGTTAAAATAAGTTTTTTTAATAACAATAACATGCAGAAAATGCAGACAACTCGGCTGCGATCCCAAACGCCTCCTCATTTCCTGTAAAATGCTATTAGCGTCCATTTGATTAATTTTAGTCAAGGTATATGACGTCATTCCGTTACGAGACCGGTTCAATTCTTAATAACTGGTACTTTAACCTGAGTCCAACGACTGAGATCCATGCCATAAGGCGTGGTACTACACGAGACTATTGTTGGTATTGTTACCGCGAGAATTTTCGGCAGTCACGGCCAATGCCACGAATAATTTAGTATGCCGGTACACATCTTAACTGTTGTGTTAACATGTTGTAGTTTAAAGTGCAAAGTTCATTTGTGAAGATATTAAAATGTTAGTAGAAATGTAGGAAATAGGAATGCTTTTAGAGACATGGGAATAAGCTAATCATCCCCTTTTTCAATCTCTCATTCCCACCTGCTACAACTCTTGTAAAGCCAGAATCTACAGCTCGACCTTCAAAATAAACTCAAATAGTGAGTAAAAGCCAAGATTGTCCACTCTCGCAGAGTTATCCATCTATCATGGGACTCGCAACAAAATTATTTAAAAGAAAATAAAAGAAGATCGATGTTACTCTTATTTCTCCCGACCTTTAGTTTGCATGGAACAGTCTTTAAATATTTATTCGTTTGTTTCAGTCGCTCAGGCTGTCAAAAACAGCTCTCGGCGAGACGACGGTCGGCCAGGTAGTGAATCTCCTGTCAAATGACGTCAACCGGTTCGACGTGGCCATCATATTCCTGCACTACCTGTGGATAGGACCGCTGGCCACCGTCATCATCACATACCTCATGTGGCTGGAAATCAGCTGGGCGGCAGTCGTTGGAGTCGGATTCATGTTACTCTTCATCCCTTTACAAGGTAAAATATGCTCTAAACGAATACCAATAAAACCCTCTATTGAACAGACAACGATAGGACATGCCATGTTCCTCATGAACTTTAATCGTTAAGTGACTCAAACTTCTTATCACTGGTCTCTGGTATTCATTACAATGCATATACCGGCGGCAGCACAATAGGCTTAACGTGGCTTCTTATGGGAGTTGTAATTAGTGCGATTTTTCAACAAACGTTAATAGGTGGAGACATTTTGTTTTAACCTTCATACTAACTGAGAGTGCGATGGACTGGTGTGTGTGTTGCACAATAATTTGAAAATATCCAATGACGCGTAATGGGACAAAACTAGATCATGGCTGCAAAACAAGCTATACTGCCTGTTGCACAATAATTTACAATTCAGGATAAATATTTGCTATATAGTTCTACCGTATTAAACTCACAAACGTGTTAACGAGCGAGCAATACAAATAAGTACTGTATTGCAACATTTGCAAGTTTATTCAGCTGAATATTTTTAATGTAACTGTCCAATGTCGCTATCTCAAAAAGTTATCTCTTACTTTAACAAGAAACATACGCCCGTATTCTCAATGCTTGCTTAAGTGAAGCAGAAAATCTAACGCACAGCGTTGAATAGAACTCTGTGATTGGTTCGTGTGTCATCCTATGGGTCCACGCGCACTGTGAGACCTCATAGTAATGTTTGTGAATACGGGCGAAAGCTAAGTTACTTTGTAGAGTCGACCGTAGATATACTTTTTGTTGTACCTACCTAAATCGCATATTATGCGTCTTTGGTAATAATTGTTATTGTTTGGGTTATGCAAATTATCGATGAAGGTAGACGTCCCTTAATTGAAACATATTTATTAAAAACAAGTGTAGTGTTAATGCACCATTTGTTTACTTAAGTTATGTTAATCGACATGGGTCAGTATGATTTACTTAAAGGTTGTACGTTAAATTTTTTTTAGTTACGATCCTTTTTGCATAGAAATGGATTTTATCACAAAAATATTTACTTACTACAAAAACTTTCAGGATATTATTATAATCTGTTTCGACTATTTGGTCTGATTTTCAATCTAGGAAGACAACTTAAGGTTTTCCGCACTCATGCCCGCATTTTCTATAACGTATTCTCTCAAACAAACAACCGTTACTTACCTAACATGTAGTAAATAAGGTGATGATTTCATTTATACTACGATTCATTTACATAATAATAATAGGCCTTCAGTTTCTATGAAATGTACGTTTTGCATGGTGAATTTTTAGAAAAAATCTATTTTTATTACAAATATTTAAATATTTTTAGGTACAAACAAAGGTACAAAAAAAACCCTTGTGTTAATTTTGTCTATAGAATGAGGCATTAAGCCATGAGATTTATGTTATAGAAATGAGTACTTTTCGACACGGTATTTGTTAGAGGCCGGTTGATTTATTCTCATAAATAAACCATTGAATACTCAAATTTCGCATTACATAATATTGCCTTATTTTTAAATACAATTCATCACTTAGCATAAAAGCGCACGGAGTCGTCCGGCGCGCGTCCCACTATTCTCACGTTTTCTAGTGTGACATTGACATTACGTCAATGTCAGTATGACAGCAGCTCATTGGCTATAACGATACCGTTATTTTAACGTTTTAGATTTTTCACAATTAACATATTAAAGTACAATTTCCTTTGGCAGCGTATCTCGGCAAGCGGACTTCGGTGCTGCGACTGAAGACGGCTCTCAGGACTGATGAGCGAGTGCGGCTCATGAATGAGATCCTCTCAGGCATCCAGGTCATCAAGATGTACACCTGGGAGAAACCCTTCGCGGACCTCGTCGCGAAAGCTAGAAAGTAAGTTCTACAAATCTAGTATTAATAGTTTTTAAGACTGATTGTTCAGTGGTTTGTTAAGTTTTGTGTTCGGGATAAGTTTGATATTTTGACAGACTTGTAAAGGAGTAGAAAGTAATGGTAAATTCATCGTAGAAGGTCATAATTTTACCGGGTCGTCTCTGGTCTGTACTATGTATAAGCGAAACTGGGAAAAAATATCCAAAGCATTTAGTTCTGAACCGGTTTATAGTGCCGTCCTAATAGACTTCGAAGGACACCATCAGGTTTTTAGGTTCGTATTATCGTATCGTATTACATAAGATAACGTACTTATACATGTACTATTACGTATAGAGCAAGATCAGACATGGCTGGTGTGGCGTGTAAGTTCTGCTTGATGTACACAATGACAGTTGAAACTCCAATTTGTCCGCAATTTAGAACAGCTCTCGTACACACGAAATACCTTTGTCATATCAATTACACTGGTCCGACAATAGTTTAGTTTCGCGTTTCTTTCACGTCACGGTAGAATGGTCCTACAATACATGGTGTACAACAACACATTACACGTAACATTTTGACCTTGGGATTGCCTTTCTTTTGTTTTTAACCGTTACGTTTCTTAAGCCAGCTGTACAAGAAAACTTTTCAGTATTTTCAAATTCGTAATCAGATGCCGTTGAAATAAATAATAATAAGTCGATTAACAAATGCAAAATGTTATAGGGGAGAGTTCGGTATATTGTACCGCCGGGTAAATTGTACCACCCTCATATTTCGTAAAGTATTTATCGAATGTCTGTAATTGCAACACTCAGCGATACACAAATTAATTCAATTAATATCGGCCATGTGGTTTTTGCCGTGACAACGAACACGTGTGTTTTATTTTGAAAAGTATTTTTTCATTGTTTTCAAGTAACTTTTGACAATGCATGTTTAGTTTGTAATTTTGTTAAATTGAATCACAGGGTGTTTCTAATATATTATTTAGAAGCGTAAATTAGTGAGGATTACAATTATTTGAAACATTTTTCGGTATTTATAAGCTATATTTTTTACCGATTTTTTAAAAGCACTATCACCTAGTCGGCTAAATTGTACCACATCAAGTTGTATGGAACTTTACCAAAGAATTTTGAAATTTTTTTTAGTAAATCATATTTTGAAGTTATGATAGCGTAGTTATGTTTGACTAACAATAAATGAAAGCAAAAGACTGGCAAAGTAGATTAGGTACAAGTGTGCGTAACGATAATTGGAATTACAAAACTTTTACTCAAAATCGTGATAACGTGTAAAACAATATAGATTGTCTATGTTATTAACTACTGTTCCTTTTCATTACCTAATTTGTTAAGAATGTATCGTATAATGTTTGGCCATAGTTTTTTTATAGGCTTGAAATTTATTGAAATCCAATTTAGTAACCCTGTGGTACAAATTATCGAACCGGTTGGCTAAATTGGACCGAAGCTCTGAACTCGTATTTTGTTGATTTGTGCTAAATATACAACAATTGTGTTGATTAATACCTATGAAATAGTAAGTTGAATAATTTCTCTTTAATTATATACCATCAACATTAGCAAAAACAAAAGAAAACTATGTGTAAAATGGGATTGAAAAAAACTGGTCCAAATTACCGGACTCTCCCTTACATTTTGCATTGAGCTTAGCGGTATTCTTCACTATTTAATTGCTTTATTGTTACATATCAGCGATATTGTTGGAGTTTCAAGAGCGTTAAGTATGTTGCCGACAGACTGACAAGTCTTGTAATAATCCGACAAACCTTAGATACTTCTGCTGCATAAGTAATGTACAGTGGGCCACAGCTACCCATTTATGGTCATGTCGTCTCGTTATTATTGTAAAAAAAATATCATCTGATTAGATCGAAACAAAAAAACGTAAATGGGCACCTAGATCTGTGGCTCACTGTAGGCATACAGTTGATATTAGGACATAAAACCTCATTTTTTTTTTGTAAAATATCAGCTATAACAACTACATAAAATGAACAAAGGACTTTAAAATGCCATCTTTTGTATACTAAAATATGATAATTTCTTGAACAGGCACGAAATAAATAAAATGAACAAAGGACTTTAAAATGCCATCTTTTGTATACTAAAATATGATAATTTCTTGAACAGGCAAGAAATAAAGCAGATCCGCGCGACCTCCTACATCCGCGGCGTGCTCACTTCTTTCATAATGTTCACGACGCGCATCTGCCTGTTCTGCTCGATCCTGGCGTACGTGCTGGTCAACAACGTCATCAGCGCCAAGCAGGTCTTCGTTATCACCAGCTTCTACAATATACTGAGGCAGACTATGACAGTATTCTTCCCTCAAGGTGAGTTTCAATAAAGCAGATCCGAGGTATAGATCGTTTCATCCACGAAGACGCGCCCCGCCAATCTTCCGCTAATGTTTGAGTGTTATCGTTACGCGCTAAATCATCCATGAATGCACACGCACACTACAATAATGACGCTCGGATTGCTCGGATCAAACTCCCCGCATCCCGTCCTTCCCTCAACCAAAAATTGGTGGGGAGCGCCTTCGTGGATGGAACTATCTATACATCCTACTTCCGCGGCGTGCTCACCTCGTTCATAATGTTCACGACGCGCATCTGCCTGTTCTGCTCGATCCTGGCGTACGTGCTGGTCAACAACGTCATCAGCGCGAAGCAGGTCTTCGTCATCACCAGCTTCTACAATATACTGAGGCAGACCATGACCGTGTTCTTCCACCAAGGTGAGTCTCAAACCCGTTTTCACCATCAATCCCTAATTTTTAAGTGCCCCTACTTTAACACATAACAGCTATGTTTTCACTAGCTTTTGCCTGCGGCTTCACCCGCGTGAACTTTAGTGTCACAGATCGGCATAAATTATAGCCTATATGTTAATTTGGGTTACAAACAATAATACTGTAAACTTTCAACAAAATCCGTTCAGTAGTTTTTGCGTGAAAGAGTAACAAACATCCAGACTTAATAATTAGGGACCTATGTTGAAAACGGGTAACAAAATCACATCTTTTCTTTCCGAAACTTTCTAGCCATATAATGCGAACGCAAAAAGTGTCATCGATGTAAGTGTTCGTCATCACCATATGGTGCAATTTACTGAGGCAGGCCATGACCGGTTCTTCCTGCAAGGAGTCCGTAACCGCCTCTTTGGTCTAGTAGTAAGACCACCTGCTTCAGACGCAGAGGTCCCGGGTTCGATTCCCAGTGGAGGCAGATTTTTCTGTTCAGTTTGGTTGGTGGTTGGGCTTATTCTAAGTCCGCTTGGCTATCTACCACCATCTTACCTAAGTCTGTCGCCATAACAACAATGTTAACAGCATTGTTGTGTTCCGGCAGTTGGAGGTAAGATAGCCAGTTCCTCCATCGTTGAGGATTCCGGGTGAAGCTCGCTTCGACATTCGGCCTGATCATCACTTACCTTCAGGTGAGATACAGGCCAAGAGCTTCCTCGTTGTCGATAAAAAAAGTCCCCAGAACCTTATTGATTGTAAGCCTGGAAACGCCAAAAGAGTCGTCAATGTAGGTGTTTTTATCACCAGCTTTGTAATGTACTGAGACAGACTATAAATAACCATGTTCTTCCCCCAAGGTGAATATCAGAACCATAAACTTAATGCCTTTCTTTGCGATACTAGCCACATTATGTGACGTATAAGTAATATACTAATCGAGACAGAATAATCTAAGGATCAAGGACGGCAGTTGCTACCTATGCATTTATTGTTTTATATTGCACTGATCGATACATTATGATAAAAGGGCTGTAGACAGATGTGTGCATTTGATTATGAAGGAATTATCACGTACAACTGTAGGTTTTATAAAATTATCTAAATATTATTTTTCTAAAAGTAACAGACGACCGTGAGGTTTATTGATTGAAAAAACAATTCTATCGGTCAGTAGTTGACTGGACTGTTATCATTACTTTTTATGAAAAACTTGAACGCTTGCGACATAAGAGTATATGAAAATGATATTCTACTGTTTTTTATCCTCTTGCTTTGTATTCATTGTTAACTATCCATTATTGTTGCAAATGGTTTTATCGTACATTGTTAAGACTGCTTTGTTGTGAGATTGTTAGCAATGATGGATTATGATGAGCAAAGATCACATAAAGATGTGTTAGAAGTCTTCAATTCTACAAATTGTACAGTATTTTTCGTGTTACACCACTTAGCACGAAATAAAACAACAGTAGTTTGGCTCACGTCTACAATTATGTTAATGCACAGACAACTGGGTACTATGTTTAGGAAGCCGAATAAAGGAATAAATGACACCCCAAGTATTTAGACTTGTACAAGAATCGTGTTACTGTACTTTTCTTAAAACGTCAATACTTTTTCTTAGTGTAACAAACAATGTATCAGCTAGACATTAGTAAATAGAAGATTTGCAGTTTGCAGAGTGATTGTGTCTATAAAACTTGGAACACCTATTCTTACATTCGACAACATTTCTTTTTCTTGAATCTGTACTAAATCAAATAATAAATAATCACATTAACACCAAAATAATCTTCTACTACAGGCATTGCTCAAATAGCAGAAGCGACCATATCAATAAAGCGTCTCCAAAGCTTCATGCTGTACGAAGACACGAGCAAACCAGTGCCCGGCCTGGCCGAGATACAGACCTCCACGAAGCCCAAAGACAAGAAAGATTTAGAAGAGGCTGCCAAAGAGGACGAAACTCCGAGAGAAACGCCCAAAGCGTCCGAGACCTCTGAAACTTTGTTGGCAGAGACTAGTAAGCAGGATGAGGCTAAAGGCAATGGTAAGTAATCTAAGTATTTTTTTTTGTTTGTTTTATAGATGTTTTCGGGAATTGCCCCCTTGATTTTGTAAAATAAGTCTCCTTGGTTTTGAAAAAGAACGTTATTAGGAAAAATGTAAGGTCCAAACTAAAACTAAAGAATATACCTACATACAGCTTAGCATAAAAAGCCTTGCGATTTTAGTTTGAATCTAAAATCAAAGGAAGACATTTTGCCAAGTAGGAATTCACCAGCTTCTTTCTACACTGTTTGCAAAAGACATTGCAGACCTAAGATACTTCAAAATTACTGGTATTTCATGACTTTTATCGAGCTTGAATCGTTTGAAAATTGCTACCACATTGTGCTATCTCTGCACATTTGTAATTATCCTTAAATTGATACTGAAATAAAATAAGTAGTTGCACACGATTATGAACTCTATTTCCACACAGGTAACGCTACTCTCGCACCTCTCGAATCCGGCGAAGAAGACGACCAGGAACTATCGACGCGAGTAGAGGAAGACTCTAGGGGAGTTAGGCTAAAGCACGCCACGGCGAAATGGATAGTGTCGCACACAGAGAACACGCTGACAGACCTCTCGCTGACAATCAAACCTGGCAAGTGAGTGATTGGAATAAGGTTCATTTTATTATTTACGTCATTCGCTTCATCTTTGACTGTGTGAATTTTGAAAAGTCAAATAGGTATATACTTGTTTGGAATAATCTTAGAAATTATACGGTTTTCATCTATACATATGATATACGAAATATTTTGCGCCCAGGATCTTAAATTTGTACTTCTTGTTGGTTTCAGGCGACGACGTAGTTAGGTCGATAGTATTCTATTAAAAAGATATAATATGCAGACTAAGGGCCCTCGCCCACGACGACTTTTTGTAGCGATGTAGGTAGCGCGTTAGTAGCGCGTAGGCATTACTTCTGTAGTGCTTTGCAAATGCGACTAACGCGCGTTAGTAGCGAGGACAATAAGATAGGGAATTGTCTCTAGATTTGAATCGCCACGCTAACATTGAAGATGTCACTTTTGTGATTCCTATTGGGCAAAATTTTATTTCGACGATACTAAAAATTTAATTATTAATATTTGTCTACAGACTAATAGCTGTGATCGGACCAGTGGGCGCTGGAAAATCGTCCTTATTGCACGTGTTATTACGAGAGTTACCGCTACAGTCTGGAAGCGTGCACATAGGGGGAACTGTTTCATACGCCAGTCAGGAACCATGGTTATTCGCAGGTAATTGAAATGTGCCTTTTTTTCTTGTTCAGCAAAATCGCCCTTATTGCAGCTATACAAGACTATGCTCTGTACTATTTTAATCTTTTTTTTTTCAGGCAGCGTCAGGCAAAACATATTATTCGGTCAGGCGATGGACCGGCCACGGTACAATACGGTCGTCCGCCGTTGCGCGCTGGACCGAGACTTCGCACTTCTACCGCACGGCGACAAGACGGTTGTCGGCGAGCGAGGCGTCAGTCTTAGTGGAGGTAAGAAGTACCTTTATGCTTTTAAGTAATTTCTAAAAGGCTAGATAAAGGGCATTTAAAGTTTATCACATTTACAAACATGTAAATTGTATACTCACAAACAAATAAGTCTTGCAATGGTGAACAATGTATGAATTCTTATGACGTCATGTAGTGGCGCCAATTGGTCAGCGCTAAGGAGGAAGGAGGACTTGTATTCGCACTGACAAGGGTGGCGCTACTGTACAGAAGTTCTGCTGTCACTGGTTAAGATTTGGCGCAATGAGAGTTTTCGCTAATGAAAAATCCGCCAGATGGCAATACGTAGACGCGAGGTCCAAATGCTGCATGAAGGAAAGGCTTGTCACTCGCTAGTGGCTAAGATAGTTTTGTGATCGCATCTGCACCTTCTAGTGTGACGCCACTGTAAGCGCTCCTGCACACGACGCCGCCACCGCACCTACACTGTAGATACGCGCCGCGTAAAGCACGCCACCGCACCGCTACCGCGTCGCTCCCGCGCCGTCAAAGCATAATTTTACCGGACCACTATACTGTTGTTAGTAATACATTGCGAGTGAAATACGTGCGATCTTCGTAACCAGCAATGTATTACTATCAACAGTAAAGTGCCCGGTAAAATTATGCTTTGACGGCGTGGTGGCGGCGCGGTAGCGGGCTTTACGCGGCGCCTATAAACAGTATAAAAGCGCGGCGTCGGCACGGCGACGGCGCGGCAGCGGCATCGTGTGCAGGAGCACTAAGTGTGAGTAAGGGTGGCTACAGAGCGCTAAAACCGCAACCCTCATTGACTGGTGGTTTCAACTATTAACTGACCCAAACCTAATAGATATTTCCTTTACTCTTCAGGCCAGCGAGCGCGCATATCTCTAGCGCGTGCGGTATACAAGCGCGCGGACATCTATTTGTTAGACGACCCGCTATCGGCCGTGGACGCACACGTGGGCAGACACCTGTTCGAGTCGTGCGTGGTGGGCTACCTGCGCAACTCCACCCGAATCCTCGTCACGCACCAGCTGCAGTTCCTTAGGGATGTCGACCAGGTCAGTTTGTTTTAAGTGTAAGTGTAATTGGCGTGATAACCGCATATTGCGCCGCGATAGGCGGTTATCACGCCATTTTGTCGATTCGTTCGTTCGTTCGTTTCAGCCGAAAGACGTCCAATGCTGGACAAAGGCCTCCCCCAAAGATTTCCACAAAGACCGGTTCTGCGCCGCTCGCATCCAGGCGCCTCCCGGGACCTTCACCAGATCGTCGGTCCACCTAGTGAGAGGCATGCCCACGTAGATGTGTAGTAGAATTTCAAAGTGCTAACCTAATCAAGATTAAGGGCCTCCGCTACGTGCTATTATTCTCAGTGCGTAGTAGTATGTGAGTTGCAAACAGGCTTACACCAAGCGTACAATGACGAATACGCGTCTAGTACGCTACGTCTAGCCTTTCAACAATGAAATAATTCGTTCCAGATTATAATATTAAAGAACGGCACCATAGCCGCTGCGGGTAACTTCGACACCCTCAGTGCATCAGGTCTGGACTTCGCTTCGCTGCTAGCGCGGGAAGAAGAAGAAGAAAATAAACCGGCGCCAGAACAGACTCCCACGATTGAAACCGAGGAATCTGTGCTGCAGGGTAGCTTTAGAAAAAGGCAGATGAGTATACATTCGGTAAGTACGTATTTGGAAACTCCTTAAGCGCTCCTGCACACGACGCCGCGCCTTTGCACTGTTTATACGCGCCGCGTGAACACCGCTGCCGCGCCGCCGCCGCGCCGCTGGCGAAATTATGCTTTGATGGCGCGGTGGCGGCACTGGCGGCGCGGCGGCAGTTTTACTCGGCGCGTATGAACAGTGCAGAAGCGCTAACACTTACCCCCTTACTAATAAAACTTACACGCCCGTTGAACAGTGTTTTAAAATGACTTTTAGTACGGAAATGTCATTTTAAAACAGTGTGTTGAACACTGTTTTAAGCTGTGTAACTTTTTATTAGTAAGGGGGTTAGAATATAAGGTTAAGAATTCTCTGGCACGGGAGGTGGAATGGAAACCGGCCACCGGTATCACTTTGGCACAAGGAAGAGAGATGATAACAATCATAACTGAGTTTGATATTGCTACAATAAATACAGCTCTGTTAGTTGCATCAAGAACTCACGCCACTGAGAGTAAATCATGTATTGTAGACTGAATAACTTGTTTTTTGTTGTATATTTTAATTAGTAGTCTGACTTTAGTACTAATATAATCCGGTAGATCTTTCCTCATAAATAAAACACTGGATATAGATCGTTTAATTTACGAAGACGCGCCCCACCACTTTTTGGTCGAGGGAAGCGCGGGGTGCGGGGAGTTTGATCCGAGCGATCCGAGCGTCATTATTGTAGTGTGCGTGTGCAGTCATGGATACTGTCATGCTATGGATGACGTCTGCATAGAAACACATTGTTTACTAATAGAAAAATGATGGATTACCGGAATAGGACTACTATATCTAAATATATATAACTCAAAGGTGACTGACTGACATAGTGATCTATCAACGCACAGCCCAAATCATTGGACGGATCGGGCTGAAATTTGACATCCAGGTAGAGGTTATGACGTAGGCATCCGCTAAGAAATGATTTTACGAAACTCCACCCCTAAGGGGGTAAAACGGGATCAGATTTTACGAAACTCCACCCCTAAGGGGGTTAAACGGGATCAACGCGTACGAAGTCGCGGGCTGCCGCTAGGGGTTAGGTTATTTAATAGTTGCGACGTTAGACATGGAAATAAATAAATTAAAACGAATTGGAGCAGTCCTCAAGGGCAGCCTTATACGAACAAAGAATATTGTAAGTAGTGTCGCGCTTTATAAAAGCATTTTATAAAAGACTATTTGCAGAAAAAAACAGTAACTTAAATTCGTTTACGATCCAGGTGAGTTCAGTGGACAATCTAACCGCGACCGCTCCACCGGAGGGCGGGCGCGAAGAGGCAGAACTTCGCTCAGCGGGCGCGGTGTCCGGCAAAGTGTACGGCGCGTATCTTGGCGCCAGCGGGCATCCGCTACTGGTGTTTCTTATGGCGTTCGTGGCTGTACTGGCGCAACTGCTGGGCTCCGGCTCCGATTGGTGGACCAGCTTTTGGTAAGATACATTTTGTTACTATAGTCTGGTCTGTGAGCACGTATGATTTTATCCAATGACCCCAAACTACCTGTTCTTATCGCTCGCGCGTAATTATATTGCTGTCGCGCTCGCACACTCACTGCGGGCGCCCGTCGAACAGTCGCGACAGGAATATAATTACGCGCGAGCGATAAAAATGGGTAGCTTGGGGTCATTGGAAAAAATTCTACGTGTTCACAGACCGGGCTTTAACGCTTCTTAGGCTGAGTTGCACCACCTAACTTTGACCGTAACTATAACGATTACCGATGTTTTAGTTTGACAGATTTTTGACTTTTGTCAAAGTTAAAGTTAGGTGGTGCAACCCAGCCTTAGTGTGATTGTTTTCTATTATCACAATTCAGTCTTCTATACCAAGTATGTGTTAAATCAAATTCAGTATATCTGTGATTCATCGTTAAGTATAATTGTATAAAAAAAAACACTTTAGCCGTTCGGCCGGATGAGCTAAAGCTTTAGTTGAAGTTATTAAATCGTCCTGCGTGCAGTTAGTTGCTCGGGCACTCAGGGAACAAAACCGAACCGATGACAAACATTAATAATATTTCATGTTTTCAGGGTAAATAACGAAGAGGCGTACAGCACAAAATTAGTAGACTCCTTAGTCCTGGCAAGGAATATCACAGGGCCAATTGAAAGGGAGGCTTTGATAAGGGAGGGACTCGTGGAGGACGTGCAATACCAGCCCGGCGGCCTGACGCGCTACGACTGCATTTATATTTATACTGGTGAGTGATTGACATGATTACAATATTGAATTTCTTCACAAAGGTACTTAAAAATGTTTACTCAATATAGTCTACAATATAGTGCAATTTAGCTTTAGTCGAGCACCGTTTCGTTTGCATACTAGAAAAAAACCATTGCAACCGAATTCACTCAGGTCACTGCTCGCTCCTGAATTCCTTGCGGATTAGCCATGCCGGCGAGGCCCGACGCGCGTGTTTTGTTTCCGATGCCTACTCGGGGAGATGAACAGGCCTGGTTTAGAATTGATCTCGTAAAGAATCCGCGCATAGCCCTGTCCATAGCATGCTGTGCGACTTGAGTTTCCTTATACGGCCCATTGTGAGAGGCCAAGTTTCAGAACCATATGGTTCTGTGCCCATTATCGGGACGGCACAGCAAGGGATTTTTACGTGGTAAATAATAATGTACACACGCCCACACTATCCATTTCCGTTTTTGCTCTCGCTCTAATCAAATGGCGATTCTTTGCAATAGAACGAGATGACATGATTTTCAATGGGCAGTTAACACTGTTGGCGATAGTACCTTAAAGTTTTAACGCTACGGTTGAAATTACAATATCAATGATTTTAGCAACCACGACTTTCAACCGTAGCTTTAAAACTATAAGGTAGATTTTTTAATCACAATATTTAAATATTTATTTACTTTTTCTCCCCAGGTATGGTGGTGGCGTTAGTGATTATATCGCTGCTACGTTCGTTCATGTTCTTTTCGATGGCGATGCGAGCGTCAACCCGTCTACACAATAACATGTTTGGAGCAATCACGCGTGCGCCAATGCGATTCTTCCACGTCAACCCTTCTGGACGAATCCTGAACAGATTCTCGAAGGATATGGGCGCTGTTGACGAGGTCCTGCCGTCGGCTTTGCTTGATGTCTTGCAGGTGATTTGATCTATTTTACCTTTGAAATGTTATTTCATCGTGCACCATAATCAGGATATTTACACCCGTATTCACAAACGATGCTTGCATAAGTGACGCAGCAATCGAACGCACAGCGTTGAATAGAGCTCTCTGATTGGTTTGTGTGTCACCCTGTGCGTCCACGCGCACTGTGAGACCTCATAGTAATGTTTGTGAATACGGGCGTTAGTCTCCACTGCATGAGTACTAATTTACCAGAGGCAAAAGCAGGATTTCGCCACCTTACCACCCCGGTCGTACCCGTTTGTTGGGGAGGCCTGATGAACGCATGTTTGTATCTTAGTCGCCTTTTGCGACACCCACGAGAAAGTAGCGCGCGTTGATGATCATAAGCGATTAGAGTAGGCGCACACCGTTGATTTTTAGTTGGCTGATAGTTGTGCCCGATTTTAAATTTTATGAAGAATCGGCCAAATCGAATCGGCGTAGTGTGCGCACTCCCATACATGCCCATACTGAACAACTGCCCGACTAAACTATCGGCCGATGAAAAATCAACGGTGTGCGCCTACTCTAAGAAGAGACGTACGCCCGTATTCACAAACAAAGCTTAAAGCAACAAATCGAACGCACACGTTGAATAGAGCTCTGTGATTGGTTCGTGAGTCACGTCCACGCGAGACCTCATTGTAATGTTTGTAAATACGGGTAGTAGTCAATGAAATATGCTGTGTATAAGTGGGCCTTATGTAATTTGGCCACTGCTTTTTTTTGTTCCTTTTTCGCTTCTTTCTTTTCCATTTATTGCTAGGTGGTGCATTACTGTTACCTTTTTTTATTTGCTGTGATCCATTGCAATATTTCCCAAATTGTATAGTAAGGCTTATGAGCGCTTTTCATATCAGTAAGAAAAGAGGCCTTGGGGTGGGTTGTACCATCTTACTTTAACTTTAACAAACGTCAAGGGTCTGTCAAACTCCATATAGAAGGCACCGGTTGTTGTGGTCGCGATTGGGGTGGGGTGGTGCAATTCAACCTAGGTGTTTTACTTGGCGTGCCGTCGTCTGTACCTATACGTATAATGTTATTTAGAGGATATGTAATAACAGTATTGTGAGAACTGCTGCCGACAAACTGTGTCACAGTTTGGCAGAAAATATTAATGCTTACTGTGTGTATTTATATGGAAAATAAATAAATAAATATGCCTAATTAAAAAAAAATAAACGACTTTATAACTTCAATTTTATCTATTGCTCTAGATCGGTCTATCCCTGATCGGTATCGTGGTGGTAGTGGCAGTGGTGAACTACTGGCTGCTTCTACCGACGTTGGCCATCGGCGTGGTGTTCTACGGCCTGCGCATCTTCTACCTGGCGTCGTCGCGCAGCATCAAGCGCCTCGAGGGTGTGAGTGAGTCATCTCTGAGCGCCCATAGCGGCCTATTGTTAGTTTGCCACGGAGTTGACACGTCACACCCGTGTGGAAATAGATAGATAGATAAATCATTTATTTGCATACACTTAACACACATAAAGAGTAAAGTTGCAGCATAACAATAATAAGAAAAGAATAGAATACAGTAGAATACTAGTTATATAAGCATGCATAAAACAAACAAAAGCAGTAACAAGTGGAAGAATACTTCCTGCATGATGTGTGTCGCAGCGATGCAAAAAGCAAAGAGCTCAATGTAAACACTGCCCTGAAAAGGGCAGAACACTGATTTTCAGCTCGCTATACAAATACAGTATAGTCCAACGATTTTGAAACGACAAATGGCAAAAATCTGAAATAGTAACCAGTATTGATAATAGCGCCCCCTGTCAATGTCATAGCTGGACGGTTCAGTGTTTTACAACTTTACAATCCGGTCGAGTTAACTGCGCCTACCTGGCAGCCGTGACGTCACATCGACGCACTGGTACGGGACAGGACGAACGCGGGTGAGTGCAAGGGATTCTCGTTCCAGCGAGGTGCGCAGTTAACTGGATCGGATTGTAAAAAGCATGTGCCAATAAGAGTTTCCAATTGCGCTCGTTTGTGACGAATTTACTTTCAAAGTTTCAATACACGAAACTTACGAAAGTGTTATGAATCGACTTTGTGGCAAATAGACAATAACCCCAGCGACACGGTATTTAACACGTTTGCCATTCAAAAATGTTAAAAACCAGACAAGCAGTTCAATTTTTTTATTGCCTTTGGAACTTAACACAAAGCAATAAAGTTCAAAATAATGTAATTACTAAATTAACATGGTTTATTGATAATATCCTTGGACATAATATCCTTGGACATTTTTACATTGCGCCGCTAGTCCCAAACTAAGCAAAGCTTGTACTATGGGTACTAGACAACGGATATAAACATACTTAAATACTTTTTTTTTTTGTAAATACATACATATTATACATAGAAAACACCCAGACCCGTCACAGAAATTAAATTCATCATTTCAATTTCGGCCGGGAATCGAACCCGGGACCTCACGGCATAGTAGTCCGTTCTGAACCACTACACTAAACGGCCGATGATGGTTAAACCAAACAACAATGCTATGAGTGTGCGTTTGTCCCCAGCTCGCAGCCCGGTGTTTTCTCACTTGAACGCGTCGCTGCAAGGAATCACCACGATCCGAGCATTCGGCGCGCAAGAGGCTCTGATTAGAGAGTTCGACAATCACCAGGACCTTCACAGTTCAGCTTGGTAAGTAAATGTAAAGAGGAATAGTTCTCCTAGAAAAAATATTATTGAAGATTCTGAAACTAAACCAGAACTTCTGAGTTGCTAATCTAACTTTAAAATCACTGCATATGTAGGCCCAATTTCAATTGCATCACCTAACTTTGACCGTAACTATAACGATAACCGGTGTTTTAGTATGGAATTTGACAGACTTTTGACGTTTATCAAAGTTAAAGTAAGATGGTGCAACCCAGCCTAAGAGTAGTTGCTATAATATCGTTGTTAAATGTAATTTTCGCCGCCACAATGTCTGGTATCTTAACGTGTCCTATAATATTTCGAAGTGACTTTTTAATGTGTCTGTCCTATCCAAGAATTTAACCTATAAACTTATTATCGAAAACACTCAAGTAATAACCATATGATCAATAAGTTATAAGATTTGAACTGATTTGATTATTTTCACCTTTGTTCCAGGTATTTGTTCATTGCCAGCTCCAGAGCGTTTGGTTTCTGGCTGGATCTCGTGTGCGTCGTATACATAGCAGTGGTTACGTTAAGTTTCCTCGTCTTTGGACAAAGTAAGTTACTATTGCGTATACTCTTTAGTGAAAATAGACAGAAATACTCAATTATTCATTTGAGCATGTAGCATTATTGTATACTAGCCATTGCCCTATCCTAGGTTTTTCTCCTTTAAATTATATTCCTAAACCGTCCTCATAAAATTCTTATCTATTGCTGAAAACTGTACAAAAATCCGTTCAATAGTTTTTGATCTTCATAGACGCGTTGGAAGAGTTTATTTTGTAACATGTAGTGATTATTGCTTTTTAGCTGAACATGGTGGTAATGTGGGTCTGGCCATAACGCAAGCGATGGGTCTCACCGGCATGTTCCAGTGGGGAATGCGGCAGTCCACGGAACTGGAGAATCAAATGACTAGCGTTGAAAGGTTCGTATAAAAAATATACTTAAATTATTTTTGAAAAATTTTGTTTCTAAGCAAAAAAAATAATATCGTCAAGATATAATAAAGTGGTTAAAAATATTAATAAAGATGCATACACTTAAAACGCCATTGTTTAGTGACATCGCTGCCGCCGGAAGTCACTTGACTTCCGAAGTTCCGACGTCTGAATAATAAACTCGTAGTAGGTGGCGCCACTGAGAGGAGTTAACAAAATGGCTGCCGAGTTGCATCAGTACGCTGTCGGATCTCGTAGTGTTAACTTGTCTTGTAGTCCCGAAGCTTGAATTAAACAGTTTTTTTTTCATTATTTCAAAGTGAACTATTTTATTTTAGTTCTGTCAATGCGTTGGATCTTGTGTTGACGACTACGTTATTTATAACGTGTGTAAGTGATTTTTATTTTGAAAGAATGTTTATCACGAGGGGTTAGCGGAATTTAAAAAATGCAACTTTTATTTTATAGAATACAAGAGTATTCCAACATCGAGCCGGAGCCGCCTCTAACGTCCGAGCCGGACAAGAAGCCGCCGCCATCTTGGCCGTCCGCCGGACGCGTGGAGTTCAAGCACGTGTTCCTGTACTACGCGCCCGGAGAGCCGCCTGTACTCAAAGACCTGTGCTTTGAAATCCTGCCTAAGGAGAAAGTCGGCATCGTCGGACGCACCGGCGCTGGCAAGTCTTCGCTCATCAACGCGCTCTTCAGGTTAGTATGTGTAAAACTAGACACTACTATGTAGGAGATAAAGTTAGTTTTAGTTCAGTTTAGCTTGCTTAAGGACCTGTGCTTAGACATCCATTCCATGTGTGTGTGCTATATGCGCCTGCGCTAAAATCGCGCTTGCGTCCGTTTGTGTCGTAAAATAGGCATGAGCAGCGCAGCGTGATACAGACGCGTCGTAGTCTCGCTCTACAACCGCGGCAGGGGATGTAAAGCACAGATTAGAGAGTATGTCTAAAGACAGATAGGAAACGGCCCTAGTATTTGTTGAACGATAAACAAACTGGTACCGAGCTAGATTGTCCAGTAGGTGGCGCTGTAAACAATATGGCGTCTGCCGCCCACAGATTAAATATATACCTCTCATACTTTTTTTATGATCCGTTCCGTTTCATGTAATGTGTTTAAAAATAAAACTATTGAAGTATAAAATAAAACTTTATTGATGAAATATAACATGAAATATTTTGTTTACGAAAATCAATAAGCAATAAAACTACTGGATTTTAAAAGATTACAGTTACTGTTGTGATAACAGTACATTGTTTTAGTTTTTACATTATGTACTCACGGATTGACATTTGTATGTAACTCATATAAAATATGTTATAGTAAAATAGTTTAATGTTCTCCATAAATTCACACGTTCACTCTCACGTTGGTTCTGTCCACTCCACTGTAAGCAGGCCAGATCTACATGTTTCTCACCACNATAATGTCACAGTTGTAGACTTGAGACGGAACTAAAGTGATTAAAGTGAAAATTACGACTTTGAATTATTATACTTTTAAATAACCATTTAATTTATAGAAATCACATAGATTCAATAAAATAATTTATGAATAAAAGCTGAAGTTGTAATTCGAAAAGGTTTCTAAGGTTTCTAACATGCAAAAGACCACTGTCGCATACAGAAGACAACTATAAAAAAAGTCACTTCCTCTCGGAACTGTCAAAAAAATTCACTCTCTATGGAGCTGTCAAACTCTATGGCGTTTCCACCCCGTGATGTAAAGGTTCTTGAGCCCATACGCCATGTTTGGATGCACCTTAACACGAAGCACATGCGTCGGTATAGTCCGGTCGCCGAGCACGTAAATTCTACGTCCAATGACCCCAAGCTACCTAATAGTAATAGCTAATTATGTTGCTGTCGCGCTCGCACACTAACTGCGCCGCCCGTCGCAGTCGCGACAGCAATATAATTACGCGCGAGCAATAAGGATGGATAATTTTGGGTCATTGGACGAAATTCTACGTGCTCGGCGACCGGGCTTTAGATGAACATCGATGCGATGCAAGTTATAGGTGGAACACATGCCCGCGTTGAATCATGCTTTAGCGTACAGCCTGAAGAGTATCCATGTACCTTGCTAAGCCCTTCTATAAATCTAATCTCGTTTCTCAGGCTGACAACAATCGAGGGCGAGATCATAATCGACGGGCGCGAGACGGCGTCGATGGGTCTCCACGAGCTGCGCAGCCAGGTGTCCATCATCCCGCAGGAGCCCGTGCTGTTCTCGGGCTCCATGCGCCACAACCTCGACCCCTTCGACGAGTACCCCGACCAGGTGTTATGGCGCGCTCTCGAGGAGGTAACCAACTACCCTGAAATACTACTATAGTCTGGTCTGCGAGCACGTAGAATCTTGTCCAATGACCCCAAGCTACCCATCCTTATCGCGTTGCTGTCGCGCTCGCACACTCACTGCGGGCGCCCGTCGCACAGTCGCGACAGCAATATAATTACGCGCGAGCGATAAGGATGGGTAGCTTGGGGTCCCATCATCCCGCAGGAGCCCGTGCTGTTCTCGGGCTCCATGCGCCACAACCTCGACCCCTTCGACGAGTACCCCGACCAGGTGCTGTGGCGCGCCCTCGAAGAGGTAACCAACTATCCTGAAATACTACTATACTCGGTCTGCGAGCACGTAGAATTTTGTCCAATGACCCCAAGCTACCCATCCTTATCGCGTTGCTGTCGCGCTCGCACACTCACTGCGGGCGCCCGTCGCACAGTCGCGACAGCAATATAATTACGCGCGAGCGATAAGGATGGGTAGCTTGGGGTCCCATCATCCCGCAGGAGCCCGTGCTGTTCTCGGGCTCCATGCGCCACAACCTCGACCCCTTCGACGAGTACCCCGACCAGGTGCTGTGGCGCGCTCTCGAGGAGGTAACCAACTATCCTGAAATACTACTATAGTCTGGTCTGCGAGCACGTAGAATTTTGTCCAATGACCCCAAGCTACCCATCCTTATCGCTCGCGCGTAATGAGGGCTATCGTTTTTATACTTAACAGTTGGCACCCCTGGCTATTGACAGGACCTTACTCTACAGTGGCGCCATCTTGATAAGTGCAAATGCGATAGTCCTCCTACCACTTTAGCGCTCACCAGTTGCTGCCACTGTCTTCGCTACTAGCAAGTGACAGGACCTTACTCTACAGTGGCGCTAACTGGTGAGCGCTAAAACGATAGCCCTCATTATGTTGCACTCACTGCGAGCGCATAGTCGCGACAGCAATATAATTACGCGCGAGCGATAAGGAATGGGTAGCTTGGGGTCATTGGACAAAAATCTACGTGCTCACAGAACGGGCTTTACACATCCTCACAGATTGCGGATCTATGATGCGCAAGCGTTGCTTACACTTCGGTAAACACACTTTAAGCCCATAAAATGTAATACAAACTCCCCCAAAAGAACTAGAACAGCCGTTTTTCAACCGATACGACACGAATTTATGCTTCTGTTCTCGTTTCAATCTAATTCCGTCTTCCGCTGGATAAAGGTCTGTGATGGATTGCCACTACGACTTGTTCTGCGCTACCCACAAAATATCCCAGATTCGTTCTTTGTCAACCGTTGTGCTATTTGAATGATATTACAATTCATTATCAGGCCCATAGCCTTCAACTCAAGAGCACAATCCTCTCTTAAACGTCAATAATTGTCCGATATTGACACCGTTGGTCAGACTTCCGATAAACAGTGACATCTAGTTACAACTATAACTAGATGTCACTGTTTAGTTTTATGTGTATTCATAATTCCATATACTATGGCAACAATATTTTGAGTATGCTCTCTTCGTTCCAGGTGGAGCTGAAAGAAGCAGTGATGGAGCTGCCAGCCGGTTTGAGTTCTCGCATCTCGGAAGGCGGCGGCAACTTCTCGGTGGGCCAGCGGCAATTAGTGTGCTTGGCGCGCGCTATCGTACGCCGCAACAGATTACTGGTGCTCGACGAGGCTACTGCCAACGTCGACCCTCAGTAAGTAAATGATTAACTTAAATTTTACAATGCTAAAGTCATTATGTCGAAGGACTGTTATCCGCTATGTGATGAGTCAAACCGTGATTGCTACATAGGTATAAAGATGTCCAACATTGAACTGTCCCAACTATGACATTGTCAGGAGAGCGCCACTGTTTATACTGGTTTGTTAGTTCCAATTTTTGCCACGTTGGACTACCTTCATTTACAAGAGAGCGCTACTATCAAATATTTCACTTGGTTTTGTTTTTAAACTGAGACTTGATAAATTGTTCCAAAATTTTTACAGAACTGATGCGTTGATACAAACTACAATAAGGAATAAGTTCGCAGACTGCACTGTACTTACGATTGCTCATCGGCTCCACACTGTTATGGATTCGGATAAGGTAAGCACTTGTAATTAAACTATATCTTACTCGTACATAGTTTTTTTCTTACAAACTTAGTGAAGGCGTCAATTATGTATAACCCTTAAGTAACACCGTGGGGTAATTTTTTACCCCAGGCGCATAAAAATGGACATATCTTTTTTTCTACCGAAGTTAGTGCAATGTCGTTTTGTGTATTCTCAATGCAAAGTGTGCGCTTTAAGCTCGTAGACGCGGGATGTGAAAAAAACTCATCTGTTTGGCTTGTACAGGTAGGTGGGGTGGAAAATTACCCCAGGGTGTTAGTTACGCATGCTTTAATTTATCATCACCTAACATCTTATGAATAGGTTTTTACAATATTTAAACAAAATTAGTAAAAATTTATATGACGATTTAGCAGCACGTTGTCTCGAAAATGCAAAGAAATAAATAGAGCTTGATTTACATGATACTTTTTCTTTTCGACACAGAAATAGAGCCCAATGGTGATAATTATGTAATAATTCAGCGTGTCTGATGTGTTTTGAAAAGAAAAATTAGAAATAAAATAAATAAAAAATACCTATTTTCATAATTTTATAAAAAAAAAGTTGTTTTATTTTTCTTTATTATAAAGCCAGAAATTTTCGTTTTATTTCATTTTGTGTCTACAATATGTATAAAACATCTATTCAATGTCCGATTAGTGAAAGTTTTTGGTTCCCACAATAACTTTCCAAGATTTTTTTAGGAGACTATTGTGGAGACTATTAGTTGCCAACGAAAAAATATTTGTTTTTTGTTATGATTGATTTAAGATGTTTCTTTACGCTAGATAGACGTTCTTTTAAAACAATAGTATAATTTAGTGAGTCCATTAATACACTGTAAATCACAAATTAAATTGATTTTAAATATTTACTTAAAAATTTTCAATTTCCGTATGGGGTATTTTTTTACCCCAGGGTGTTCAAAGTGTAACCAAAAATAAGGATGTTACTTAAGGGTTAAAATTCCTTCTACTAAAACTTCGTTTATTTCCAGGTGCTAGTGATGGACGCAGGTCAAATGGTGGAGTTCGACCACCCGCACAACCTTCTGCAGAAGGAAGGAGGCGTGCTTCGCGCGATGGTCGAGCAGACCGGCCGCTCTATGGCAGACTCACTCGCGCGCGTTGCGCAACAGGTCAGTTGTAATTTGATTAATTTATTTGTAATTCCAACAATATTGTTTAAGATATTTCAGGGTTATAGGGGATCCTTGAATATATAATATGCGAATATATGCTTGTGTGGTGTGGGTTCGCTACAGAAGTACAGTGAATAACTTTACAATAAAATCACTTCAAGCAAACTTTCACGTGTATTTCAGGCATACGAGAAGAAATATGCGCCTCAAGAACCTCAAGCACACGGGAGCAGCCAGTGATGAAGTTACTTAATAGGTTTAAATTATGTTCACGTTCCTATCGTTGAATAATGTGCAACGGATCTGAAAATACTTTTTCCACATTGTCAATTTTGTGTCGAGTTTTGTCGTCGTTTCAAATTCATTATTGAATTTGAATCTTTACACTATTGGTGAATTAGGTTTCATAGATTTTGAATAAGTTATATTTTTCTATGACATATTTTCTATTGCATTTCGCTGCCATCACATGCTTAATATTTTATGATCTTATTTAGGTTATTTTGTGTAGAATGAGGCGTTAGCAAAAGTTGAGAATCTCTTAGGTGAATTTATTGTTCGAATCTCTACAACTAAGAACTTTCGAATTTATCGTAAGTAGTACGTTGAGTACAGCCTTTTTGTCTATTTTGTATAGACGTCGTCGCGACAATAAGAAAATGTGATACAATTTTTAAATGTTACTGCCATTGTTATATACCCATTTTATGCCTTTTGCTAACGCAACATCCTGCCCGATTGTTACTTAAACTTGCAAAATCGCCATGTGTTAGAAACTTCATATTCAATAAGGGAAGTGTCGTTATATGCGTGAATGTCATAGAATGTAACGTCACAATAATTTTGTCGAATGTATTAGTTAATATTATACAAACAACCACTATGTTTAAGAATAGATTTAATAGTAGCTGTGGAATACATACAAAGGACAAGTGAGATTTTTTTTTTACACATTTTACATGTTATATAATTTTTAACCAAATTTTCGAAATGATTTTAGAACTAAAATGAAATGTTATGAATCTGGAAATTCATAAAAATTACTTCTATCTCTATCTGTCAGACTTTGGGTTCGCCTTCGAACATAGGCCTCCTCTTCAACCCTCCACCGACTTCTGTCCCTGGCCACACGCATCCAGTTCACTCCAGCCTGCTGTCGGATATCGTCTGTCCATCGTTTAGGCCAAGGCTGCTCAACTCCAGGCACGCGGGCCACAGTATGTCCCCCAAAAGAATTTTAAGTGGCCTGCGCATGTACAGTTGGAAAAAAAAACGCACCAAATAAAAAATCCCGCCGAGCACAGTACAAACTTTAAGATCTCTCTGAAGTTAGCTGTCAAAAATGTAGGTGGCCCGTCGTTAACGACTGAATCCACCGTTTGGCCCGTCTCTTCAAAAGGTTGAGCAGCCTTGGTTTAGGCGGTCTTCCCCTGCCGCGGGTGTTGTTGCGGGGTCTCCACTCCAGGGTCTTTCTGGCCCAGCGATCCTGGTTCATCCGTGCAATGTGCCCTGCCCATCTCTATTTACGGCTCTCAATCTCTTCCACCACGTCGCTGATCCTCGTCTTATCTCTGATCCACTCGTTCCTTTTGTGATCTTGTAGGGAAACGCCAAGCATCTGTCTTTCCATTGCTCGTTGTTATTACTTGTGTCTGAGTAAATTACGATCTGTGCAATCACGACTGATTTTATATCTGCGGTGCTAGTTTTATACTTACTTTCTACGATTGTGGCCTTAATACGTACTTAGGTTTGATGAAATGTTCCAAATCTACGCTGTGAGACATCTTATTGCATGTTTAGAAATATTTTTTACAATATGAACTAGCGCATATTATTTTATTTTATTCAGTGATTTGATTATGTATACCAATTTTTATTATTTAATTTGAATGTGATAATTTTTTTTTAAATGTGTATGCTGTGCCTGATACTTAGAGAAACTTGAATTATATTTAGCACTAAGAATCTGTTGTTGTTGGATATTACAACAAAATATAGTTATTCTATGTATATTTTGAGTTCTACTTTTGTTAGCCAATTCTCCTCACACTATTACACCAAATAATACAAAGATATTTTCAAAGTAATTTATTTTCCATTTGATACGCATTTCACAATCGTTTTACATGTAATCAATGTTTACCTTAAAACATTTAAAGGAATGTAAAGAGTAAGATGTAATGCTATGATAAAATTAACTATACTACAATCCTGTTCAACTTTTTGTATCTAACTACATATAATAACGATGTATTGTGAACAATAAGGTAATACTTAAACAATAATTATATTTACACCCAATACTGAAATGTTTATCATTAGGAAGATAAAATATAGGCGTTGGTTGAGTCCGCATTGTGTAGAAGCCGTTCACCGTTTTGGCTTTTTCTTGCACAAAGGACATAAGAATAATAAAATACTTATTGAAGCAATCTTTAAAATTTAAATAAAACTTGACCTACTCCGATAACAACAAAACAATCTGCCTTTAAATGAAGCAAAGCAAATGAAAAATTTGCTTCGAGGCCTATTTTTATTATTCTTACGCATTTCCAAACCTTCATAACTTATCATTCTTTCCAACTTTGCAAATCATTCATCACTGGATTTTTATTATGAGATTTCAGACTTTTCAAACCTCTCAAAATCCACAGCAGCCAACATCCATACTCGATAATAGCTAAGCCTTATTTATCACAGACCCTGGGACGTTTACATCACATTCTGCTGTCATCAAACAACATAACCTACGAGATAAAAAGGACTTCTAGACAACCACAACGCGAATACAAGAGCTTTATACAACGTGTCCCAAAATTCAACGATAAGCCGGCTCCACAGGGTGGACATAGTCATGACTACTTTAGGAAAAATAAGAAAAAAAATCTATCTTAATTATTTTTGAAGTTACACAATAAATTATGAAATTCTTCGAAAATTGACACCCCTTATGATATTTTACATTACCACGGCCACAATTTTTTAAATACTTCTGTTTTTTTGTTTGTATCGGCAACCTAAGTAGTGCTGCTGTCCACCCCAATCCTTAAAACCCCCAGAATCCTTGCAATTTTTACACAAAAGTTAATCAAAATATGATATTTCCTTAAAATTTTGAACGATTTTTACTTTCACTCAACTTTGACTCGTAGTTATGTAAAAAAAAAGTATGAACACTACTGCGGCAAGTTTTTTGTAAAGTTGACGCAACTATCCAAGATTCCAAAATGGTATAATACTCTAAGAAAACTAGTCGCAAAAAAGATATGCGTACCATTTTTACACGCACTTCGCTTGTTAGTTAGTATGAGATAAATCTTGCAACTGAATTTAAAACCAGTTCTCCTCTAACAATTAAGCTGAAATTAGGTATACTTATGTAAGTACGATCACAATGCAATATTATGGTATCATTGAGCTGGATGGAGTCTGGAGGTGGCCATAGGAACTTTTAAACGAAACGGCGGAATTGCATCTAGTTTAGGTTCGTTGGATTTGTCTTTTCGTTCACTTTAGTGCTAGATGATGTCCAGGGTGCTGATGATGAAGTCAAGAGGTGGCCAGGAGCTGGCCATAGGAACTCCTAAACGAAACAGCGGAAGCTTATCGAGTTTGGGTTCGTTGGATTTGTCTTCCCGAGCACTTGGGCCATGAGATTGAGAAACGACGTCTTTTCGAGCACTTTAGTGCTAGATGATGTTCAGGGTCCTGATGATGAAGTCAAGAGGTGGCAGGAGCTGGCCATAGGAACTCCTAAACGAAACGGCGGAAGCTTATCGAGTTTGGGTTCGTTGGATTTGTATTTTCGATCACTTTAGTGCTAGATGATGTCCAGGGTCGTGATGATGAAGTCAATTATAATTTTCAAACGAAGTGTTTTTAAATAAGTTTTTTTATTTTAAGCTTTTTAGTTGTTTCTCAATCTCATGGCCTAAGTGCTCGGGAAGACAAATCCAACGAACCCAAACTCGATAAGCTTCCGCCGTTTCGTTTAGGAGTTCCTATGGCCAGCTCCTGCCACCTCTTGACTTCATCATCAGGACCCTGAACATCATCTAGCACTAAAGTGCTCGAAAAGACAAGTCCAACGAACCCAAACTAGATGTAATTCCGCCGTTTCGTTAAGAGTTCTTATGGCCACCTCCATACTCCATCCAGCTCAATGGTACCATAATATTGCATTGTCATCGTACTTACACAAGTATACCAAATTTCAGCTCAATTGGTTAAGGAGAACTGGTTTTAAATTCAGTTGCAAGATTTATCCCATACTAACTAACAAGCGAAGTGCTTGTAAAAATGGTACGCATATCTTTTTTGCGACTAGTTTTCTAAGTGTATTATACCATTTCGGAATCTTGGATAGTTGCGTCAAATTTATAAAAAACTTGCCGCAGTAGTGTTCATACTGTTTTTTTACAAAACGACGAGTCAAAGTGGAGTGTAAGTAAAAATCGTTCAAAATTTTAAGGAAATATCATATTTTGATTAACTTTTGTGTAAAAACTGCAAGGATTCTGAGGGTTTTAAGAATTGAGGTGGACAGCAGCACTACTAAAGTTGCCGATACAAACAAAAAAACTGAAGTATTCGAAAAATTGTAGTCGTGGAAATGTAAAATATCATAAGGGGTGTCAATTTTCGACGAATTTCATAATTTATTTTGTAACTTAAAAAATAATTGAGATAGATTTTTTTTCTTATTTTTCCTAAAGCAGTCATGTCTAGGTCCACCCTGCGGCGCCGGCTTATCCTTGAATTTTGGGACACGTTGTATATAGAATCTACACTATACAATAATACGTAGATTAATGGGGAAAATCTTAAAATTATTATAACCAACAGAATACAGACATGGAAGAAAGTAAGGTTTGTACGCAGTACCCTATAATAGCCCTATGTACACGTCGCTTAGTCCACACTCTTGCCACACGCGCTTCAAGGCAATGTGCTATGAAACAACGTAAGCGAATAAGCAACACATTAAAGCGCATGTGACAAAAGTCTCAAGAAGATAAATAAAATAAATAGCACAATAAGTCGTAACTAAGAAATACATTGTCATGATTATAATTCGTTACTTCCCTTTGGCACAAGAAAGAGAAATCGAGATGAGAATTTCCGTCGAAACATCGAAAGGGTTAAAGATGTCGAGATCTTTAGAAAACTGTATACAGAATTTACTTTTTTCTACAGCTACATAACTAAAAAATAATGTGATATAAAGTTTAGTATTACAAAAAGTTAACTATTCACAGTCTTGATACGATTGGCGACGCGCGGGGGGAGTGTCTGACACTGCCGCGTCGAGTGTGTGACACTGGCACACGAGTGTCTGACACTGCAGCACGAGAGCTGACACAGCCGCGCCGCGTGTGTCGGACACGCGCGCGAGTGTCGTACACTGTCGCCTCACACCAGCGCCGTCAGGCTGCCCGAGCAAGAGTTCTTGTTGTCCGTCGACTCGTTTTTGATCTGGAAATAATGAGTGGGTTAAAAATGTGTCACGTTTGAAGCAACGCAAAACCTGCAGAAATTGTGGCAACACAACTTTAAAATCATGGACGACGGCACATCAAGGTGAACACTGCTTTATATTTAGTAATTTTTTAAATTGCATGAAATTGAGTTTGTCACAGATTGTTATTTAAATAATAGCTACTGCAATATTCTATGCATATCAACAATAATGCTGTAAAGTTGTATCAAATCGTTCATTAATTTTTGCGTGAAAGCAACAGAAATACACCCATCTTAAACTTTCACCTTTATAGTTAGTAAGTAAGACAATAGGTGCTATTTTTCTAATTGCACATAAGTATAGATCGTTTCATCCACGAAGACGCGCCCCACCATTCTTCCGCTAATGTTTGAGTGTTATCGGTACACGTTAAATCATCCATGAGTGCACACGCACACTACAATAATGACGCTCGGATTGCTCGGATCAAACTCCCCGCATCCCGCGCTTCCCTCGACCAAAAATTGATAGTCGACAGTACTTTGTGTAGTCCTTGCTGCAAAGTTAATAAGGTTCAAACTCACATGCAGGGTCTCTGGCGGCGGCGGCGGCAGCGGCAGTTCCAACCTAAGCTGCGTCCAGAAGGCGCGCTCGTGCACGTGCCGCCACGCCACCACGCGCGTGCGAGACACCAGCTCCGACAGCCGCTCGCCGCCTTCCTTCGCTTCCCGCTTCAGTTTGGGTAAGTCCTGCGAATTGGAATTGATTTAGTTAATTTTTGAGTTTCAACTCGAGTAACTCGGCTTAGCCACGAGGGCGAATTCGCCGCGCGTATGATCGCGTAGAATCATACGCGCGCTGGCGAGATACTAGCAGCGTAAATCGCGTCATACAGACCCTCATGTCCGCGCGAATACATTCGCGGCAAATTCGCCCTCCTGGACAAGGCCTAATTGATCTCTGGCTGTAGAATACTACATAACTAGAAGCGTAGTACATTACCCGTTGCATCGTTAATGACGCAATACTGCGCAGACTACAACTTCTGTATAGTAACGTTTCACACGCTGCTATATTACTTGTACCACATCACCACTGACGCTGATGCATCTTAATATGTACAGCGCCTCAACAACATCCGCTTTAAAGCGTTTCATCATCGTTACAGCTGTCGCAGCGCGGTCAGCAGCTGCAGCTGCTGCGGCGCGTACTACGGCGGCACTCATCTTGCCGTGTAGCATGTAATGTGTCAGATACTGTATCGAGTACATAGGCACGAGTCCGCTGCGAGCTGCTCGCGCATGGTTCGCAGGGAGATCGCAGTGACCCGCCGAGTGGCGGTATCACTGCGAACACAAAGGCGGCTATTGTCACGATCACTGCGGATCCGGGAGCTCACAGCTAGAGGACACGCGATGACTGTAGACGAGTACTCACTTGAAGATTGGATACGTTACATGCTACATGGCAGGTGAGTACCCTGCTCTACGCGGGGACAGCGCTGCATCACACGCATTGTGATGACGACGGGCGACGGGCGCAACTGTCGCAGCGCGGTCAGCAGCTGCTGCGGCGCGTACTGCGCGGGGACAGCGCTGCATCGCCGCTGTGCAGCGCTGCACGCTCGCTGGACACCTACCTGCAGCAGCACGACGACGGGCGGCAGCGGCAGCGCGCGCAGCTGGCGCAGCGCGGTCAGCAGCTGCTGCGGCGCGTACTGCGCGGGCGACAGCACGGCCAGCACGGAGCGGCAGCGCGCCATCTGACTCATCACTTCGTTGTACCCTGAAAATTTGGAGAAGGGTGTCAGTGAACAATTGTGTAAAGTGTAGCGATACTTTAAATATTGTATAGTTAATAAATTCTTTTTGAACTTGGGACTACATTATTCATTCCACCTAGTTAGCCATCAGTTCTTGAACAGCCTTAGCGTTCCTGCACACGGTGCCGTCGCCGCTTCGACGCCGCGCTGTAGATACGGTCGCAGCCGCCGCGCCGTCTCCGCGCGCTTTACCTCGCTTTGATTGATTCATTCCATTATCGGCCGCGTACCGTGCACGTGCGGTGTACAGTGTAGACTACACTGTAGATACCAGTCGCGCGAAGCCCGCCACCGCGCCGCCTCCGCGCGCGTTTCCTACGCCGGCGGCCGCGTACGCACGTGCACGGTACGCGGCCGATAATGGAATGAATCAATCAAAGCGAGGTAAAGCGCGCGGAGACGGCGCGGCGGCTGCGACCGTATCTACAGCGCGGCGTCGAAGCGGCGACGGCACCGTGTGCAGGAACGCTTATTCCTCGCCACACTCCGTGTCTTACCTTAATAGATATCACGGTGATAGACATCCCTCACTTGTACCGTAGCTTAGGATGTTAGAGATTAGTGGACTAATGCCCGTTTTCAGTTCACCATCGATCTCTTATTTTTAAGTTACCCCTATGACCACAAAATTCCTGTTAATTGTTACCATAGGGGTCACTTAAAAATTGGGGATTGATGGTGAAAACGGGCATTATTGACTAGGGTACCTAGGTACGTGTGTAGCTATTACAAAAGATCACTTCCATGCACTTACATATTCTCACACTACATTTACATTAGCTGCACACGAAAGCTGAAGCTCTGTCATAAGTAACACCAGGCCTGTTCATCTCCGCGAGTTAACATCGAAAACAAAACACGCACGATGGCCCACCTACAGGATACTATTCGACAAGGCCTCACATACGAGCGAACATTGACTCACGCACGCGTATTCTTTGATGGAAGAAAATAAAGAAAATGGTGTACTAAATACTGTGCAGTATTTAACAGCCTAAATAATAATAAAAACACAGAATGTACTTTTTTAAGTTGCCTCAAGACACTGAGAGGTAAATAAGTAGTTAATATTATTCATGATAATTCATGCTAAGTCATGTATTTCCTCCGCCATTTTGCAATGACATTGAGCATACATTTTTTTAAATACTTTCGCGAAGTAAAACTTCTGTACGTAGTACTTATTATTATTCTGTGGTAGTACTAAAGATTATTCGAACAAACTGATACCACAGTGGATAATAAGCACATATTTTGATTACTTTATGTGTGTGAATTTCCAATGCGACACTGAGTTTCGAACTCAGCGCATTAGTTGGCATCTCTCTATATCTCTATGGCGCAGACCATCCGCTATGAGTGCAGAATCCATCTTTAATTGAAGACTAACCTAACCTGATAATGGAAATATTCAAACTCACCAACAACGTTCAACTTGATCTGGAAGTTCCTCGTGGGCGAGTTCTTGAAGTCGACCCTGCACCGGTATATGCCTTCATCATCCAGCTGTATGGCGTCCACGGTCAGTGACGAGGGTCTGGACATCGTTACGAAGTACGCCCGCCGCCCGAAGGCTAGCGGGTCCGACCAGTGCAGCGCTTTGTTGAAGCTGCGCCCGCGCACGTCGAAACTGGAAAAGAAAGGGTAATTAGATATATTTCTTCACTCACAACGGAGATGTCCGAGGTAAATATACATATCTATTTATCATTTATTTGCATAATATATTAGCATCATACAAAACAATCTCGAGAATCAAGCTCCCAATGAGCATATCTGTCAATGTCATGTCAAAAATAACCAATCATGCAGCATTTGGACCTCGCGTCTACGTATTGCCATCTGGCGGATTTTTCAAACGCGAAAATCCTTATTGAAACTGGGTAGGGTGCAACATGGACATTCGACATAAGCTTCGTTTTGTCCACGTGCAGGTGCACCCTAAGGCCTGCCTATTAGGAAACTCGATTAAGGCCTTCGAGCATTGTGTCGGGCCTACTCTTACCTGATGGAAAGTAATGATCGAAAAATCGAGCTTTGCCCAGAATGGAACACATAGGAACTGACTACTATCATCATCATTATGGCATTATGATCATAGTGGTAGCTACTCAGGCAGGAGGACTAGAATAAGCCCTACCCACCACTATGATAACCAGAAAATGTTGCCCATACTGGGAATAGAATACGGGACCCCCTGGGTCTGAGACAGACAGAAGTACTTATACCTATCAGGGCTATCATTCATCATTTCAAAAAAAAGTTAGGTAATAATATAATAGATGCCAAAAAGTCTAGAGCCCCAATTCAAAAGAACATAATTTTTATACCATACAATTTTCTATGGAAAGCGAGAAAATTTTCTAAAAAAAGTAACAAGATGTTCATACGTTATTTAAGATATACCAAACCATATATTTACCTACCTACTCTCATATAAACTTGAACTGGAAGCGTGCCAGCGTGTCGTAATACATAACTTAACTACACATATAAAATGAATGTATTTTTCAAAACCACAACCTTATCTGAGGCCTTAGAGACCGCGCACACTTTATACTTTGGCGACGAATTACTTTAATTATTAAAATCGCCGATATTTTTAACTTCTACCCCATGGACCTNTTTACCGAGTCAGCCCTATAGCTTCGGCGCAGTGCCGATCACTGACGTTTGTCAAAAAAATGGTGATTGACTCTTGAGACAGGCTAAATTACACCATATTGTTAATGACATTGAGCATACATTTTTTTAAATATCTTCGAGAAGTAAAACTTCTGTACGTAGTACTTATTGTTATTCTGTGGTAACACTCACAGTGGTCGGGTCTCGTGGCCAGCTGCAGCGTGTGCACGCGGTACTGGTACTTCAATGCAAGCGTCGGCAGCAGCGCGCCTCGCACCAGCTCCGCGTCAACCGCCGTCCAGCACACCAGGACATCGAACTCTTTCTCCAGCACTGGGAATAGGAATTGTAATAAATTATTATCAGACAGCGCCAGAGAGCGACAGACATACAGCGCAGCGTGTCCACCCACAAGGACCGACGACCTCATAAAGGTAGCGGGAAGGCGCTGGATGCAAGCCACCAACCGGCCACTGTGGAAATCATTGGGGGAGGCCTATGTTCAGCAGTGGACGTCCTACGGCTGAAATGATGATAAAGATGATGATGAATATCAGACAATTTTAATGCTGTGAAGATACGGTTAAAAGCAATGACTTTTTTTGAGCAAATCTCCTGTCATCACTTAAAACAAACTTTTACACAAATACCTACATATTTTTCGAATACAATGTATTATTGTCAATTGATAAGGCCCGGTTTCCACCAAAGCGGAGCGGAGAAGTGGAAACCGATCCGCTCTGCTCCACCTTTGTGGAGAAACGGCGAAAATCAATAAACATACATATTTCAGAAAACTTCAAACAAATAAACATAAAATTCGTTCAAAGCGTCAAACTATGAATAACACCCGCTTAGTTCAGAAAAAGTAATATAAATGCAAATAGGTAATTTCTATGGATATCGATGCCGTCTAACGGCATTTTTCGCAGAAGCGATCGTGAAAGGAAATATTTTTCTATTTTCCGGAAATGGATGATAACACATAATAATAAATGTAGAATTATGTTGTCGACTGTTTTTACCGGGAAGCGCTCAAAGTAGTTTTCACTGCGATTCCCGGTAAAGTGTATTAAGAAAATTCTATTAAAATGTTTCTAGCTCACGTTAAAGGAAAAATAAGCATGTTGTTGACACAGATAGTTTTCCATCTCGCGAGCTGTCAACAGGTTCTAATAGTACGGCATTAAAATATGTTTATAAACTTGTAACATGATATTTAATAGTGCTGTTGCCTATTTAGAATGATAATAGATACATGCGCGCTGCAAAATCGAGCGAGTAGTATAGCGAAGCAATTATTAAAGTAGCGTTTCATCGTTATTATAGAGATTATTACAAGAACTAAGTACGCAAAGTGTGCTGCGGAGTCCCCAATTGAAATAGTACATAGTGAGGCTTAGGGCACTGTAATTTAAAAGCAGCACGCAAATCAGAAGTTCAGATCTTGATTACGATTTACGATTAAATATGATCTTGATTAAATAAAGTATGTACTATCTACTTATAAATACATAATTTATTAATAGAATCCTTAGCAATTATATTATTTCTAACAAATACGGCATTATTTATTTCTATCGTTAATAATAATATAATAGGAAAGGAACGGTACTTTTCTAAGAACGTATCCTTGTGCCACTTGCTATGTTCAAGAAATGTGACTCACATCACAATACGAGGTCGTATTAACGTGATAAGCGATCATTAATAAGTTAATTTATATAGAAATACTTAATAAATGAGCAGGTATATCGTAACTTGAGTTCTTCGAAGGATAATTCCGTTTCCGATAATACCCTTGAGAGGCCAAGCTTAGCCCTTTTAATCTCACTGAGAGTTACTCTCGAGTTCATATTTTTATTATCTGAATTCGAAGGATTAGGCGAAAAAAATCACTACAGTCAAACAAAACCATTACGTAGGATGAGGTGATACATTCTAAATTTACACATTTTACTTAAAAAAGTGTACCTAACTACGATAATATTCATAAATAAACAGAAGTTTCGAATTGTTTAGGATTTCTTTTTTCGCTATACGTCGTGGCCCTAGTTTTCGTTCTATAGGTGCAAACAATACGCTCGCAAAAATGCACCTATGTCTATCTCTAATTCGAATGGCTAGAGTTCTACAACAGATAAAAGCCACGATAGCCGAACGATGTCAAACTCGTCATCTGATAAACGCGGGTTCGAACCCCGCTGACGCTCGGCTATTGTGGTGAGCCCACTCGTGACACATATATTTAGCTTAGTACGAAGAGCTAACGGGACTATTAGTAATTTGTGCAAAAACAAATCACAGGCTGGGTGCACCATCTTAATTTGACTTTGACAAACGTCAGAAATCTGTCAAACTCCATACAAAACACACTGGTTATCGTTATAGTTGCTGTTAAAGTTGCAACTCAGCCTAATATTCTTTAAAGAAAATACCAAAGCTTACCTCTAGCTCGGTGCGCTGCAGTAGCCGTCCTAGCCCTAGCTTGCCTCGCTGCCAGCAGAAGTCGCAACGTATACCGTCGGTGAAGCATGATGAGGGACACCCGGAGTAAAGCCCCCGCGACGATGCCCAGCACTAGAGGCCGCCAGGGTACTAATATTCTTTAAAAAAGAAAAAAACAAATCTTACTTCGAGCTCTGTGCGCTGCAGTAGCCGTCCTAGCCCTAGCTTGCCTCGCCGCCAGCAGAAGTCGCAACGTATACCGCCGGTGAAGCATGATGAGGGACACCAGGAGTAAAGCCCCCGCGACGATGCCCAGCACTAGAGGCCGCCAGGGTACTAATATTCTTAAAAAAAGAAAAAAAGAAATCTTACCTCGAGCTCTGTGCGCTGCAGTAGCCGTCCTAGCCCTAGCTTGCCTCGCTGCCAGCAGAAGTCGCAACGTATACCGTCGGTGAAGCATGATGAGGGACACTAGGAGTAGAGCCCCCGCGACGATGCCCAGCACTAGAGGCCGCCAGAGTACTAATATTCTTTAAAAAAGAAAAAACCAAAGCTTACCTCTAGCTCTGTGCGCTGCAGTAGCAGTCCTAGCCCTAGCTTGCCTCGCCGCCAGCAGAAGTCGCAACGTATACCGTCGGTGAAGCATGATGAGGGACACTAGGAGTAGAGCCCCCGCGACGATGCCCAGCACTAGAGGCCGCCAGGGTACTAATATTCTTTAAAAAAGTAAAAACCAAATCTTACCTCTAGCTCTGTGCGCAGCAGTAGCCGTCCTAGCCCTAGCTTGCCTCGCCGCCAGCAGCAGTCACAGCGTGTACCGCCGGTGAAGCATGATGAGAGACACCAGGAGTAAAGCGCCCGCGACGATGCCCAGCACTAGAGGCCGCCAGGGTACTAATATGTATTCTTTAAAAAAAAAAACCAAAGCTTACCTCTAGCTCGGTGCGCTGCAGTAGCCGTCCTAGCCCTAGCTTGCCTCGCTGCCAGCAGAAGTCGCAACGTATACCGTCGGTGAAGCATGATGAGGGACACCAGGAGTAAAGCCCCCGCGACGATGCCCAGCACTAGGGGCCGCCAGGGTATGCTGCTGTCGCCGGACCAGGATGTGATGCCTGACAGGCCGTTGACTGTGGAAAATGCATTTTGTATAGATAACAACTAGTGATGGGCCGACTATGGTCTTTGCCGACTAACCGACTAGCCGACTAATCGGTTTTCAAATTGCCGATTAGTCGGCCGACTAATTAGTCCAGTCAAATTAGACATGAACCCTGCAATAATTCGCATACAGCTGAAAATTGGTACGAATGTTTGGAGCACCATTATGAATTAACTGTGAAAAGTCCCCATCGATCCGACGTGTGCTAAAAAAAAAATTCAAGGTCAAAGTTAAAAAATACGGGTTTTTGAGATTTTCAGCCAAACAGTAAGTTTTATCACAAAAATATGTATGACAAGGTTTAAGACCATACAATTACACTGCACAACAAAATCGAACTTTTTTTTTGTTGCATGAGATTTTTCACTTGTTGTTTACTAATTTAGGCTCGCTGATTTTAAATCTACCCTCAGATTTTTTCTAGCAGCTCTTGTTTTTGANGGCGGTAGCTTTAATACGCCCCTGTCTCATCTGTGAATATGCCCCTGCCCAAATTGCGTCTCGCCCATGAAGCTAAAGATAAAAATGGAGGGCAGAGTTGGAACAAAAACTTGAGTCAAATACCTACTTATATCTATCTCGCTCTCTGCGGCCCTACCTCTCTTTTTAGTGTGAACTGTAGTATTGCTATCTTCTGATTTAAATCTCCTTGTAAATTCTTCGAAATAGCCAATTCACTAACCAAATCAGAAGTTAAAAAAATAAACAATTAATATTTGAAACGAAGATTACCTAGTTNCAAATCGGCGGATCTACCCGCCCGCAGTGCCTACCTAGCCACTTGTAATTATAATTGGCTGGCATTAGCTGCGACGACACGATCGTATGTAATATTCAAACTAGCAAAAGGTGGTAATCACCGGCGAGGAGGTCGGGCCGCGCGGTAAAGTCTCTGTAGCCGAGTGCGCCGCTCACACCGTGGAATTATTATGAAATATAAATTGTCTCCGATCGATTGGTAATTTATTTGCGGGTAATGCATCGGGCGCGCAGCAGTCGCACGCCGCTCGCCGCTGCTCCCGCGCCGCGCGGAGCCGTCTCGTCCCGACTGTCTGACACCTACATTCAGGTACGGGGAGGCTAACTTTTAATGCATGTCGCCTTCTGTTTTCTCACAGTTCATGTTATTTAGTTTTGAATGAGTTTTCGTATCTTAGATTTCCTACTACTTAATGTTGAAGATACGAGTACTATAGCCTGACCAGGAACATAAAAACCCTGGCATAGAGGCGCGTCAATTGCATTTGATAGTGCAACACTGAGTACAGTCGTACCTGTGTTAAATTAATAGCCTAACTTTATGTATCAGGATTTAGGATTACGGGCTAATTTGATATTTTCATAAATTAACGAAAAAATTAACTTTAAAAAAAAATAAAACCGACTTCAAATGCGTGAACACAAAAAAAAACTAAAAATTGAAAATATTGGGTATAAAAAGTTCATCCCCAATTTTCCACCCTTGGGGGTGAAATATTTTCTTCAAATTCGCATGAAACCACCCTTTTGATAATACCTATTCAACAAAAAAATAATCGTTCAAATTGATTTATAATCGGGGGAGATATTGCGTATAAAAAAGTTCATCCCCAATTTTCCACCCTTGGGGGTTGGTTTTTCTATTATTAAATTTAAATGGGACCACCGTTGAGGTATTACCTATACGCAGAAAAAAGATTTGTTAAAATCGGTTCATAATTGGCGGAGTTATCGCGTAACAAACATAGAAAAAAAAAACATACGGGTCGAATTGAGAACCTCCTCCTTTTTTGAAGTCGGTTGAAAATATTATTATAGGTAACCTGGTTTAAATAAATTAAATGAAACCATCAATCGAGCTAGTAGGATTTATTTTATTATTCATCAATAATCAAATTCAGAACTTGAATATTCAACTGCAATGTCTGCTCATGAACGCTTCAAACTCGGTACTTCATTCCCAATTCCATAAAATTCAACACTTAGAAAGTGACAAAAAAAATTGAAATAGGTAGTTGAAACAAACCACAGCTAATTTTCATAGTGGACTGTACTATACGATAAACATGTCAGTCAATTTGACAACCTTTGTCGGAAACATTATTCAATGAAAATATTGTCCGAACCCTTAGTATTTCTCTTCGACAAATACTGTAACACATTGTGAACCACTTTTCTTTCACGACTATAAAAAGATTTTAGCAATTTAATTCACAAAATCAATTGAGAATGTTACTAGGTATGCAAAATCACTTAAAACCTATGTTACAGCTAGGCTTTTACATTTACAAATACATTAGTTTTTATTTCATTCAAAAATACCCAGTAGTTATGATTTTATAGGCATTCAAAGTTCGCTTAAATATTGAGTCCCGCCAACGGTCACGTGACCGCGCGTGACGTACATTCACAGTTTCCGCTCACAAGAAAACGGATATAAACATACTTAAATACATTTTTTTTCACGGATATAAACATACTTAAATTCATTTACTTTAAATACACAATGGCAGCCCGGCCGCCGCCCGCACTTTTAAAATTCAATATCTTGGAAACTAATTGACGTATCGAAATAATTCTTTCACGTGTATTTTTTATTTTTAACAGAGAATACAGAAAGCTAAAAAACAAAATTAGTGAACATTCTTCATTGCGCACATTTAAAATAAAGTTTGTTTACACTTTGACAGCAATAGACTGACATGCAAGGTGACATGTCAATGAAGTTTTCAGTTACTGTTGCCATTAAAAGAAATTAGTACCATTAGTTTTCCGCAACATGGCGAGGGTTTTTATGTTCCTGGTCAGGCTATACTTACTTATGACGTTGACTCTCTCGGTGAGAATTTAAGACTAACTTTTGATCATTACATCTACATTCTTGAAGTCCGTGCTCTTTAACAGTTTCAGATTATAGGGGAGGGGGAGGCTGTGTTGATTTATCGGATTAAAAACATTTTTTGTGATCTTTCAAAAGCGTTTGATTGTTGTAGACCGCCAAACCTTACTAAACAAAATGCGACATTATGGTGTTTCGAATGAGTCACTTTATCTGTTGAACTCGTATGTCACAGGCAGAAAACAATAAGTTTGTATTAACGGAACTGAGTCTTCTGGAGCACTTCTAACTATAGGTATGCCGTAGGGATCCATATTAGGACCTTTGCTAGTTCTTATTTATACATATTAATGCCTTTCCTTACTTTGTAAAAGATCTAAGTATGTGAAATTGTGTTTTTTGCTGATGTTATTCTGGGTTATAAATAATAATACTATAGATAAACAATTACAATAATACTATATCATATACAGGGTGGAATTTTGTAATGCCACCTGGAGGGAAGGTACTCTTAATACTGTAGATAGAAAATGTTACTCAAAGAAAACATTGCTTTATTTTTTAAAAGAAACAAAACTCCAAAGATTTCCAAAGCTTGTCAGCCCTGAGAATCGAACCAACTCAAATCTGTTAAAAATTACACCCTGTATTCAATCGTAATCGCAAATCGTTAGGGTTAAGTATAAGGATGAAATCTCTCTAAGAAACTTGATAAATAAAATGAAAGGAAACCATGAAATCTTAAATAATTGTAATTATACAGAACATGTATGGTATGGTAGTAAATTTTCGAAAGTTTTCGGAAGTCTTTGAATAACATATAGGCTTATATTATGTGAAAAACTAAATTTCACGTGGGTGAAGCCGCGGGCAAAAGCTAGTAAGTAATAGTTTCCAAATTTATTCACAACGAATGCTTTAAAACTCATACAAATGTTTATGTTGTCTACTACTTGCCCCACGTCAGTTACAAATTGCGACAATTTTCAGAAAAAGACATTTATTTGCAATTTAGGCCTAATCATCACCTGAAAGATGAATTCTCGTTTTATTCTGAAAATATTCAATATTACATCAGACGGCTCACATGCTCGACTACTCCATCGGATCAGCGGCCGCGAGTGCGGTATGACTGTGACTGCGTGGCTTCCATCAGCCCCTCATTGAACGCGTGTCCTTGTTGCAGCGGCTGCGTCGGTGCGTCGGTAGGGATGGTGGCGTAGCGGCCGCGATGACGCCGTGTCTGCTCGCGCTGCTGCTCGCCGCCTCGCCGCTGCTCGCGCTCGACATCTGTGAGTACCGCCTCCGCTTGCCCCTTGCGGCGACGACTGTGCTGTGCATAACGATATCGTAGCACCCCAGTCAAAGTCCACCCACCTGTAAAAACGCGCACCACTAGAGTTAACAGTAGCGTCTTATGTATGATGTAAATGGGTCGTTCTACTTTTAAGGTCTTAACCATGAAAAAAAATAAAGAAAGCTATTTAGTACATTTCATACGACTGAAATGTAGGAAAATTACCATAGATTCGGTATCTGTAGACCAGCAGCTCAGTTTTTTATCAAAACTTATATTTTTTTGCGTTTTACTCGACTAAGATGGAAAAAAATGTATCCTTCGTCACGAAATTCAGTTGTTTAAAACTCGATAAATTAAAAGAAATTTCAATAGATATTTGCATTTATTATTACAAAATCTCGGCTTAAATCAGTCTTGGACAATTGGTAGTTAATCGTTATTTAATCAGGTAACAATTCCATAAAAATGAACAGTTTGTCCCTTTCGTCACATTTACACCTTTAAAACTTAACAAAAATCTATAATTTTTCTCTTTTATAAAGTTATATTGAAAAAGTAGTATTACACACTAAAAACCAAGTATTACACGACATAAAATGAGTTACAAAAAGAGTTAACACTCTCATTTTTGTTGTTTAAGAGATAATATTTATTAGGGGACGAGATCAAACTCTTCGTTACGAAGGAGACGTAAATGTGATGAAGTAGACATCTAACAATTAATAATCAATCTAACTTGAAAACTAATGAGTGTCTCAGCCATTTTTCATTAAGAATAAACACACGCCGCCCGTTTTCGTACTTGATGTAAAAGAAGTGACAAGCTGGCTGTGTTAAACACTTGATTTGA